TTTTTTTTTTCAGATCTGGGGATCAAACCCTGGGCCTTACACATGCTACGTGAACACTACCCCTGAGCTATATTCCCAATCTCCTAAAGAATTTTTAGGCACACTAGCTCATTTAATTCTCACAAAACACCCTATTATTGTTAGGTGAGCATTGTTATCTTCATTTTCATTGCTGTGGCTTGGAAATGTATCCCACCCACCTGTGTCTTAAAGACTTGGTTGTAGGGCTGTAGGAAGGTGGTAGAACCTTTAAGAAGTTGGGCCTAGTAGAAGGAATTTGAGTCATTGGAGTATACTCTTGAAGAGGACATTGGGACTCTGACCCCTTTCTCTCTCTCTCTTTGCTTACTGTCTGCCATGAGGTTATAGACCTCTTCTGCCACACACTGCCCACGTGTGTTCTTTTCTGCCTTGTCCCGGCTCCAAAAGCAATGTGGTCAAGCAATCATGCACTGATACCTCTGAAACTGTGAGCGAGCACAAACCTTTAATCTTTTTAAGTTGTGTTTCTCAGGTACTTTGTCACAACAATGGAAAACTCACAAACACATTTATACTTAGGGAAACTGAGAAACTGACCTTCAGAAAGCAACAAGGAAACATAGTCAGTAGTGACAGTTTTCTGAGCACCTATTATGTGTGAACCCCATTACAATATGCTCAGGCTCACAGTAAAGAACAGGGCAAAGATTCACCTTAGTTGATTTTAAGGTGATACAATTTCCATCACAAGCCAACTGTGTTCATACAACTGGGACAGCTTTCTTTGAGTATTGGTACCAAAATTAGAGTTCTTATTCTTCAAAAGGCTTGAAAACAGCTGAGGTCATCCTCCCAAAAGGCAATATTGTTTCCATTTCAATTCATAAAGTCACCAAGCAATAAGATCTGAAGGATGCTTTTTTGTTTTATTTTTATTGGAGATGAAGCTTGTTTTTATTTATAATTTCTCTGGAAGAGTTTAAACCCTGAGTGGGATAAATTAACACTGGATTTATATATCAAACATCATCAAATGGCCCCCATGCAGATATCATGTTATTAAAATGAGTCCTGTGTGTGAGATCATTCTATGTTGTTGCATTGCACACTAGGGCAAGCTACTTAGAATTAATGAAAATGAATAATTAATGAAAGAGGAAAGAATATTCCTTTTAAGTTCCAGTTGTTTTTGTCCTGGCTCTTCTTACTTCCTCTTTCCACTATTTTGTGCCATTGTGAACCATTCACCCTCATAGTTTATTCCTTCCTTCCAGCTCAGAGTAGTTGTAATGGCTGTGCAGCTACAGGCAAGGAGCCAGGGCTTTCTGAAGGAGAAAGCATGGGAGACCAGAATGGAGCCTGTTCTTTCTTCAGTAAAAGGGCACCATGAACTCCTAGAAATACCTCACTTTTCATTGATGGACCCAGGAACCAAGCTGGCAAACAGGAAGGAGGATCTGAGCTTCCTAACTGAGGCAAGACAAGGTTCAAATAGAATTTTCCAACTGGAATGACCTTTTCTGGTCATTCCTTGCTATATGAAATGGTTAGTCTACAGCCTCATTCATCACCATGCAGTCCAAACACCAGCAGTGTCAGTATTACTGAGAATCTCAGCAATGAAGAAATTCCACCCTAAACCTATAGAGTCTGAGTGTATGTTTCAGCAAGGTGCTCAGCTGATTGGTAAGGACATTGAAGTTAGAGAAACACTAGTCTCTATGATGTCTTTTTGCCAAGAAACATGTTTTTTTCTTTCTTGAAACTATGGCACATGTTTCAAGGGAAATCAATAGAGATCATAACTATAATAAGATATTCATGCATGGAAATTATGTTCTTACATATAACTAGGCTCACAGACCAGTTAGAAGATAAATTTCAGATGGAATAAAAAGTTGAGCTATTTTACCTGTTGTGTTTTTTAACAGTCTTAATGGGGCAATGACTTGCTTTGTTCCAACCATTAGATACCTTTTGCAAGTACTATTGAAAACAGGGAAATAATCAGAAATGACTTTCTCAAATACTGACTCAAGTCTTGCCTCATGGCAATTTCTAGAATGTCTCAACCAGTCTCTCAGGCAAAAACAAACTGAAAAGTCTCAAATCAAAAACAAAGGTAGTGAAGCATAATAATTTCTTCTAATATTTCTGTAGCAGTCATCACTGAATTTATGCAGGCTTTCTTAAAAATGGAATTCCCTGAGAAGTCACACCAATTTACTAGGATGCTTAGCTTGCTTAGTTCTCATTTGGGATTTCTGGTCATAAAACCACAAGAATTTAATATTTCTGTTTTTCTAACATTTTGGGGGGGTGGAACTGGGATTTGAACTCAGGGCTTCGTGCTTACAAAGTTGACACCCTATCACTTGAGTCATACCTCCAGTCCATTTTTTCTGGTTATTAAAGAGATGGGACCTCCCAAACTATTTGGGCTGGCCTCATACCTCCATCTTCCTGATATCAAGTAGCTAGGATTACAGGCATGAGCCACAGGTACCTGGCTATTTTCCCAACATTTTAAGGCTATATCTCTTTGAGCCTTGGAGACCTTTAAGATTCGTTGAGTGTTTTCCCTATTGTGATTTTAAGTTCAAACTAGTGGTGCTATTTTCGGACTTTGTAGAAACTTTGGGAGATGGAGCCTAGCTGGAGGAAGTAGATCACTGATCAACCTTTGAAAGTTATCCAGGTCCCCGGGCCACTCTTCCTTCTCTGCTTCCTGGCCGCTGTGAGTTGAACAGCTGTACTTCCAATGCTCCTGCCTAGAATAGGTAGAGCCAAGTGACCATGGAAACCATGAGTCAATCAATCCTTCCTCTTTTAAATGTGAGGCATTTTTCACCAGGATGTGATGTAAAAAGTAATTACTACACATTGGTTTTGTGGCTGAGAGTCCAGTATGACATGAATGTTGCTACATAGTAACTGCTTGATTTTAGATCACCTCTTAAGCTTTGCTTTCTTCATCTGCAAAATGGGGATAATATCTATAGTTCACATTGTTGTTGGTAAAATAAAAAAGTTTATAAAATTCCCAGGAGTTAGTAATTATAATTACTAATAACATATATGGAGCTGAATATCCATCCTTATATAGTCAGTGCTTTGCAGAGTACCGATTTTAAAATTGAGTTGAATTCAGACTGGAGTCAGCACATGGTTACACTTTAGAATGTTGGTGTCCCAGCTGGATGTGAGTATAATTCCATCACTTGAGAGGCTGAGGTAGGAGGGTTATGAGTTTGAGGCCTGTCTGGGCTACACAGTGAGACCCTGTCTCAAACAAAACAAAGCAATAATAACAACAAAGAATTTTGGTGTCCCAAAGGACTTCCTCTCTGCTCATGTCCTTTGGTCCTTTTTGTTTTGATGGGACTGCTGTTTGAACTCAGGGCATCACACTTGCAAAGCATATGTTCTACCACTTGAACCATACCTTCAGTCTATTTTGCCTTTATTGTTTTGGAGATGGGGGTTTCTTGAACTATTTGCCCAATCCAGGCTTGAAATGTGATCCTTCCAGTCTCAGCCTCCCAAGTAGCTAGGATTATAGGTTTGAGCCACTGGTGCCCAGCCATCCTTTGGTCTTTTAACAGTTTGATCTAAGTCTATATTAGATCAGTGTTTTTTTTTTTTTTTTTTTTTTTTCTGGCCATGGTCTATCCCTTGGCATTCTCTTTGTATTTTTATAGAAAGTATAAATAAAATGAGACATAAAAATGAGATTGAACTAAATAACCTCTAGAGTTGTCAAAAGACAAAAATTATAACAAATTTAGTTTAAAGATCTAATTGGCTTTTCTTTGTGATTCTAGAATCAAGTTCTCATTAGCTGAACAGGGGTATTGGTTTGATAGGCAAAAAAGGGTGGAAAAAAGTAGAGACAGGAAAAAGAATGAATTGGTTGTTTCTACTTTCCTAGTAAAGGTTAAAGCAGAGAGGACTTCTGTATTATGGCTAAAACTGGCCTATTTCAGGATTTGGCTATTATCTCTCTCCTGATTTCTTGAAAGGTCAGATAACCATCTAGTTTCTTGGTTATGTGGAATTTTACCTTGGTCTGGTCTGTTTGGCCTGGTCCACAACACAGCTATAAATTTTATTTAACAAATTTGTATTCTCTCTAAAATTCCAGGATAAAACAGAAGTAATTTTTCCTGCAGTTGAAGCACATGGAGTTTTTGTGCTTTCTAACTTGGCTGATGAATACAAAGAAATCGTTGTCACTTAACCCCCTTTTTTTTTTCACTTAGAAATCCACTGAAAACTGGCTACCATCAATATTTGTGATATAAAAGAGTTTTACTTCTGCCTGATATTTTCGATCATTGTATTGGTTACTCTGCACAGCTGTATAGCACCATAGTCTAGAACTTATGCCTCAAAATCATTTTGATACTTATAAGTAGGTGCAGCTGTGGAGTGGTTCTTTGTGTAGGGTTAGGAAACACTGCAGTTCTTGAAATAATCCAGATGTTTTTATCTTCCAAAGAAAAGTTCATACCTAGTGAAGTACTTGTTTATAAACCTTCACAACAAAACAAAAAATTATAAGAAAACTTTCAAGGGATATGGATCATAGAAACCAACCCAACACCACCTTCTTTCCCAACCAACTTCATGGCCCCTGGGATGTTGAAAAGACACAGCAACGCTGCTTTTATGCTGGCTGTAAAAGATGTCAAGTAAACTAGGGTTATATTGTCTGTTACATTCCAATGAGTTACAATCCGGAGAGATAGTTCATAGTTCAGCTTTGACTTTATTTGGCTTCCATCCATTTCGCCAACAATATGTTCTGGATATATCACACACCAAAATGTGATTTTTAAAACATGCCCTAAAGAAAAGTTATTGCAAAAAAAAAAAAGAAAGAAAGATTACTGCTTATAGAAACTTCAGTAATACATTTTGGGATAATGCCCGCACAGCATCAACAAAACGTATTTTAAAAATCGAAAGTGAAATTAGTTGTAACTTTTTGTTTCTGTTCTTGGTTAATCATTGGAGACACCTGGTTTGGTATTCCGAGTAGAAGTTAAGTTTCAAGGAAAAATCTCCCCTTGAAGCTTTGTTTTCTTTCTGTTTTCAAAGGAACCAAGCTGTTAAGCTGGGGATTGAATTGGGGACATGTAGGTCCCCGAGGCGCTTCTGATCCAGGCCTGGGGACGTCGCTGGGCCCGCGAGGTTCCGGCCACCCGCGCGCCGCTTTCCCGGAAGGGCGAGCGAGCTGGGCCCGGGCGCGGCGCTTGGCCGGCGATCGCGGGTGAGTGGGGCGTCACGTCTCGTGTCCCTGCCGGTGTCCGGGCTGGAGAACCCAGGGGGAATCCCCGTGGGAGCCGCGCGGGAGCTAGGGAGCCCTGGGCGTGGGCTGGGCGAGATCCGCACTCGTGGGAACCGCGAGGGGCTGGGGGCGGCAGGATCTCCGTGCGAAACGTGGGGGGCTCCGAACAAGGGACCCCACGCACACCGCTGCCCACAGTCGGGCCATTGAGTCGCGTCGTCCCCAGGGGCGCACCTGCCGCGCCGGCCCTCTTAGCCTTGTCGCGGCCGGGCTGTCGGTTCGCGCTGCTTCCTTTGGGAAATTGAAACTTAACGTGATTTTTGTTTCCCCGCGGTCTTCATGGAGCGTCTCCAGAGAGTTTGGAAAACGGATTTCTTACGGAAACCGTTCTCGGCAGGCACAGAATTCTGTAGTCATGCCTTACTAGTATTTCAGAATGTGCAAGCTTTTTCTGGGAGGAGATATCCAAAGGAGAATACTGTTGTTAGATAACAAGGATAGGAGATCATTATTTTGGACTAAGAGACCAGACAAAAATCAAAATGGAGTAGTCCATGCTAAAGTTCCATGTCACCAAAGGAAGCTAAGTAGTTGTGTGAGAGAGACTGGGAGACTGCAGGGAGAGTAAGGAGAGGGAGGGAGAGGACTTCCTGAGCAGGCCAGTTTTCTCAGCATGGTAATTAGGTTCCTTCTGCTGTAATCTTTACAAAGAAGTAACCCGATGTTAACCAGTAACTTTCCACTGGTCTTTCTCCCTGTCCTTGATTTACAAGGAAAGTAACACTGAAATAATCAATCCATGTCTTGTTCTCTGTGTCTGCTTCTTTTTGCTTTACTCTGACTATATAACCAACTTCTGCTCAGCCCATCAGAACACGCATTCTTTTTTATAGCTTGATTGCAGAATTGAAAAATAAAGCCAATTAAGATCTTTGCATTGTTGTAATTTTCTCCTTGACACATTATTTCCAGTCTGTATAGCATGCATGTATCCCATTTCCTTTCTTTTTGCTGTCAGGCATGCATATAAGAATTGGTTCTGTATGGTCAGCCACCACAGTCATATGAGTTTTAAGATAACAGTGATTTGTGTTGCTGGATTTTTTTTGGGGGGGAGGTGTGTGGGAGTGAGGTTTGAACTCAAGGCTTTGCGTTTGCAAAGTAGGCACTCTACCTCTTTTTTTTTTTTTTTTTTTTTTTGCTCTGGTTATTTTGGAGATGGGGTCTTACAACTGTTTGCCCAGGCTGGCTTTGAACCTCAAGTCCTCCCTATCTCAGGCTTCTAAGTTGCTAAGATTATAGGCGTGAGTCACTGACCTGGCTTGTGTTGGTTTTTATTTCCTGAAATACATGCACTTAGTGACTTAAACATGCACACACGCACACACTTTTTAATTTTAGGATTCTGTAGGTCAGAAGTCCTATCCAGATCTCCCTGGGCTAAAGTGCAGGTGTTGGCAAGGCTGCCTTCCTTTCTAGAAGTTCTTGGGATGAATCCACTTTCTTGTTTCTAGAGTCTGCCCACTTTACTTGGTTTCAAAGTCGGCAGCATCTCTGACCATTCTTCTGTCTTTACATCTCACTCTGACTTTTCCTTTTTCCTCTTTCACTTTTAGGGAGTCTCTTGATTACATTGGGCCCCACAGATAATACAGGGTGATTTTAATAATAGCTGATTAACAACCCAAACTCAATCTGCAGCCTTAATTCTCCTTTGCAATGTAGTCTCACATTTTCACCAGTTCTTGGAACTAAGATGTGGACATCTTTGAGGGGGTCATTATTCTGTGTGAGACCACATAATTACATAGAAGGAAAAAATTACTGTATATCCCAGTCCCTGCAAAGTGGGAAAGTACTCAGATGGTAAATATGCCGGGGGAATTCTGGGGGTGTTATGTAGTAGACCATTTACAATGAAAGCCTTTAACATAGCTTATAAGAATATTGGTGTTGGGGCTAGTGGAGTGGCTCAAGTGGTAGAACACCTGCCTAGCAAGTGTGAGGCCCTGAGTTCAAACCCCAGTACCAGAAAAAAAAAGCAACCCAAGAAAACAAAAAAATATTGTTGTTGTAACAATGATTTTAAAAGCAAATAAATAATAATGTTGCAGTTTCTGTCTTTTGGAAATGTAATAAGGGGATTTCATATGCCTATGATGTCCTTCCCAGTGTCTGGGAATCCCTCTAGAAACAGTATTTTCAGCAAAAGGTTGTAGTGCACAGGTGCTTTGAATGGATGCAAGGAAGAGTGGACATGGTCCCTCTCTTGAAGAAGTATCAGAGTAGCCATGGAACATTATACAAGTACACAAATAACTGGGAAGAGAGAAGGATGTCACACCAAGGGACAGGAGAAGAAGGACCCTTCAAGAATTCCTCAAACTCAGTTGAGAAGTTGTCTAAATAAGACAGGTGGTTAGTCTGTCTTAGACCTTGGATGAACACCAATAGGAGGCTTCTGTAGTTCTTGATGCAATAGGGACTTAAATGTGTATTTTAATATATATATATATTTTTTCCTCAAACCATCTTAAATCTATAGAAAAGCTAAAGTATAGAAATACATCCTTTCTTTTCTCTGAACTATCTGAGAATAAATTTCCAGTCTGATGACCTAATATGCTAGAATACTTAACAGTATATTTCCTACAAAAAAAACAGTGTGTGCTCCTGTGTAACCAAAATGCAGCCATCAAAATCAAGAAGTTAATAGTGATATTTACAACCATCTAATCATCAGATTGCATTGAATTTCACCATCTGTTACAGTATCACTCATGGATTGCATTTACTTGCGATATATCTCTTTAGTCACTTTCAGTCTGGGAGTTTTTCCATTTTTCCTTGGTTTTCATGAATTTTCCTCATGCTTGCTAGACAGACACTTTTACTGCTTCAGGCATCTAGCCAGATTTTTTTTTTTTTTGAGAAGGGTTTTTTTTCCAGATAGGGTCTATATGTCTGGGGCTGGCTTTGTTTGAACAGCAATCCTCCTGATCTCTGCCTCCAGAGTAGCTAGGATTATAGACGTGAGCCACCAGAAGCGCACCTCTAGCCCTTTTTACTCTGGTTATTTTGGAGCTAGGGTCTCACTTTTTGCCCAGCCTGGACTGGACTGCAATCCTCCTATTTTATGCTTCTCCCTAAAGCTGGGATGACAGGCATGCACCATGATGCCCAATTTTTTTCTGTTGAGATGGGTCTTGCAAACTTTTTTCCCACAGGCTGACCTGGAGCTGCCGTCCTCCACTTCAGCCTCATGTGTCTCTTGGGATGACAGGTGCACTGCCAAGTCCAGCTATTGGTTTGAGAGGGAGTCTCTTGAATTTTTGCCTGGACTGGCCACAAAAAGTGATACTGCCTATCTTAGCCTCTCACAAAGCTAGGATTACAGGTGACACTTTAAAGGAATAGGCAGGTTGTATTGTAGAATGTGCCCAAATTTGAATTTGTCTGCCATTTCCTCATACTTAGAGTTAGATTACGCATCTTTGGCAGGGTTATCATCAAACTGCTGTGTTCTCAGTGCATCCTATCACGTTACCTGCTTTTGACTTATCCCATTATTTACTTTGATTTTCTCCTGATGGTGATGGATCCCAGGCTTTCCTATAGCAAAGTTACTTTTTCCCTTTGAAATTAGTACATATTTTGTGGGAAGTATTTTGAAACTAACAATATCGTAAGTCTGCCTTATTTGTGGATTTATTATACATGGTTTTGACCAAGCACAGTCAAAAAATAAAATGAAATTTCAAAAACAAAGATTTTAAATCCCTGCGTGCATTACGCAGTGATGTAATGAGTGAGTTCTGTTGTTTTTAAATCGTTATGTGATCTGGGTATTTCCCAGCCCTTAATTTTGTGAAGATCTACTTCCCAAAAAGCAAATGTATCCCAAATGCAAGGTAAAAGTGAATGTGCTTAATTGAAGTGATAATGTGAAAATCTGGGATCTGCTGAAAGACAGCGTGTCTTTAGCGAAAGTTGGGCTGTGCTATCGGAAAAAATGAATCAAACATCCGCAGTGTGGCACTGAACTCTGCATCCTAAGCATGCGTTTTTCCTCAATGGTGGTCTCCTTGGAAACGTATACCTATAACTATCGAGGGTCTATTGTATTCCTTTCTTCACAAAAATTTTTATTCATTCATTTATTCATGTTGTGTTGACTTATAGTTTTCTGTTTTATTTATGGTTTTGGGGCAGGATTTCACTTTGTAGCCCAGGCTGGCCTTGCCTTCCCATTGCCTCCTGAGTGCTGGGATTACAGGCTTCATTATTTAATCTTAACATTTAATTTATTCCCAGATTTGGTCAATGAAAACCACCTGAAGTTGAGTTCTGTGTCCTTTTGACATGTCCTCATTATTTTTAAAGCATGTCCTTGCTTTTGGGAATCACAAGGTATCTCAGGCTCATGTTGAGAGCCAGTTTTTCTGTCCCAGTCCTGGGAGCAGTCATTTCTTCCAAAATCCCTTGTTCCTTTTAGTTGAGAATGGTAGTAGAAACCAAAGTTGGGGTGCCGTGGGTGCTCACTGTTTTTATCTCTGCTTCCTAACCCCCACCCCCAGCATACACAGCTAGACTGTATATGTATTTGCACATACACAATATGTGCAATCTGCACAATACACATCTATATTTATATCTATCTGTAATTCATCTGTCATGTATGTATCTATGTATATGTCTATCTAGTTATCATCAACCATAAGATTACACTGATATATCCAATTTCAGTTAATAGGATTAATTCCTGTTTTCTTTTCCATTATTTGTAATTATTTTCTTTGACAGTGAAGTCACTGGCTCCTGTCATCCTCCATAGATTTATTTGCCTGATCAGTTCCCTGTATGTAGCCTTGCCACTGGGAGATCTTTCATTTAGATTCTGTGTCTCTTTCACATAGCTCCATTGTAGGTTTTTGTTTGTTTGTTTTTTAAGTGCTTTTTAATTGGCACTACAGATATTCTAGGCTAATCCATTGCTCTGAAGAGCAGGTGAGAAAGGGTGTGATGAGCCTTTATGCTTTGTTTACATTTGGGAAGTACAATAAGAGAACGGAATATTTAAATAAAGCTTTTGAAAAAGGTTGGAAGATCAAAATAGTAGTTTTTTCAGATAGGGCATAATATAATTGGATTTGAACTAAAAAGGAATGTTAGTACCCATTATTTTCTGTATATCATTAAATTGAAAGCAAAGGATTTTTAGGAACTTTTTATATATTTATAGGTGTGAAAGTTATTTGAAACACAAACGTTATTTTGATATAAGTCATATAATAAAGACTTTGATGTTAGGAAAAAAGATATAGTAAAAAGAAGTATTTCATCCATAAAAGAATAAAGAATTATTATTTTGTCTTGAATTTGTGTATATATACTATTTTAAAAGTATTTTTTTTCACAACTAGGGAATCATGGAAGCTTATAGAGATGACAGAAAACAAGTTTGTAAAGAGCATCAGCTGGATGAAGGATTTGTGAAAGATGAGCAAAATGAGGTAAAAAGGAAAATTAGTAGGTATTATTAAAAATTAATTTATTTCAATGAGTTTTAAAGAAAAGTATGTTTGTATGTCTATTTTCAGCATTATCTTGAACTTGGAAGGCTATGAGGCTTTTCAAAATATTTTAGTTTTTATTTTGTTAATCAAGCCACACAAGAAGCTTCATATTTCCTATTCTTTTTCTTACAAAGCTTACATTAGCTGCTTTCTTGCTAAACTCCCTCATTTCTTGGACTTGCACCTGGAAGTTAAGAGATTAACTAATAATTATCTGATCACACACAAGATGGAATAGAGGCCCTACCAGGTGAAACCTGTTATCCAAGGCTGTATGTTTGGCCTGTCAACAACTGTGTTCTGTGGGAATTGTGGCCAGTTTTTAAAATACTCCCTAGAATAGCATGTCCACAATTACAGTGTAAGTTAAAAGTCATACTCTAGTCACAAATGGCGAGTTTATAGAGCTCTGAACTAAGATTTAGATGACTTCAATCTCAGTTCTTGTCTTCATTGTAAAAGTTCCCATTCTTTGGTTCACTGTGAAAGGCAACCGTGGAACTGGGAAAGTTTGATAGTTGTTAGGGGAATTTGCAGGTGATAATGCAAAGCATTCAACAGCTGTATTGTTAGCATGGACATATTTATTTGGAGATGATTTAATGTAGGCATACTTATTCTGAGACTGCTCTGCTCAGGGTGGGGAGGATATGTGGCATTTTTAATTTAGAAAAAGATGTTAAAGGATTGTTTAATTTTTTGGTACTATTTGGAATTTTTTCAGGGATTAACTGATGAAATTATAAAGGAAAATAGGCAGCTGTACGAGGAGATCCAAAAACTTGAAGCTGAATTACAAGAGGCTGCCAGAGACTTCCAAGTACTGTATTTTATCTATTACATTTTTTTTTTACAAATGTGTACTTTTCAGAAAATGTTATTTAATTATACACAATTCATTTTTTTAAGGCATCATACTCTTTCATAGTACCACTATTTGTAATAGCCTAAATGGAAAACAACTCAAGTGTTCCTCTGTGATAGAGTGCATTAATAAATTGGTGTGTACTTATGCAGTTGAATACTGCATAAAGCAATGAGAATGAACAGGCCACAGCTATGTACAATGTCATGGGTGGGCCTCACAAACAAAACCCAAAAGGCAGAAGAGAGCATACTGCATGCTTCCGTCTAAATAAAGAACAGAAGTAGGGTGTTCCAAGTAAGGATAGTGGTTACCCTTGGAAACAGAAAACACCCAGCCGATGAGAAACCCAGGAGGCTTTCTGTGGTGTTGTTATGTTCAGCTTAATGGCTGGGTACCAGTCACACCAGTGTGTTAGCTTTATAAAATTTCATCATGTCTATACCTACAATTTATGTAATTTTCTATTACTTATGTATAATTTAATAAAACTTGCCAAAACAAAAATTAATAAAAGTTACAGACAAAGAAAGTTATACCCCTTTACCAATCAATTTTGGATCAAATACGTGGTCTTCTCATGAGCCTTTTCATTACTTTCCTCATCAAAGGTGGTATAGTAATTTAAATGAATTTCACAGTTTAAGAAGTTGGTTATGTACTAATTCTCAACATTTAAAGTCTCTCCTAAATTTTCCTGTATTTGGATTAGCCATAACTTTCACCTCATGTTTCTTCTGAACAGTCAGATTGTTAAATTAAAACGTTGTCACTTTTTGTTGTTGAGATGGGAGATAGGACTCTGAACACCAGCAAGTGAGGTTTCTGTGTTCATGAGATGGGTGACTCCTAGTGGAGGAGGAATCTGGTTACTTGTCAGTCTGGGTCAGATGGAGGCCTTTGGACCAGCCAACCCGGCAAACCCACTTTACAGGACCAAACTTGATATCCTTAGGCCTTCTCACCCTTAACTTGAGAAACTCCAGGGTACAGTGTATTTCCATATAACTGGAAAACATTCTGACTTCCCTTGGACATTGCAGATTGTTTTAAATTTAGGTTATAGTAATTAGAAATTCTGCTGAAGTTTCATGGTGGGACTGGGTGGGACTGGGGTTTGAACTTAGGGCCACTCTACTATTTGAGCCACACCTCTAGTCCATTTTTTGCTCTGGTTATTTTGGGGATAGGATTTCATGGGCTGTTTGCCTGGGCTGGCTTCAAACTGTGATCCTCCTGATCTCAACCTCGCAAAGTAGCTGGGATTATAGGTCCAAGCCACTGGTACCTGGCAGTTCACCGACTACTTCTAATCTCTTTGTGACAACCTATTTTATAGCAGCATGTAAAATAACATGAGAAACAGAAATTTAAAATAACCATGGAAAATAGAAATGTAAACACTTAACTCATTTGTGCAACTTATATATATACACATATATGTGTGTACATATATACATGTGTATATATACATTCATGTGTATACATATATACAGGTATACACGTTATATGTGTATATGTACATACATATATATAAAATGTTATTCTCAGTGATTTTAAGCAGTGTAGTATGACCACCTAATTTTATCCTGAACATTGCAATGTTGGTAGTACCCCCTTTACTTTCTTTTAAAAATAAACTTATGTTGTAGAAATGGTTAAAAGGTGTTAGGGGAGGGCTGGCAGAGTGGCTCAAGTGGTAAGAGCACCCACCTAGCAAGCATAAGGCCCTGAGTTCAAACACTAATACTGACAAAAAAAAAAGGTGGAATTTAAATTTGATGTATTTTTATATCATATAATTCAGGAATCTTTCTTTTTGGATGAAATTATCTGGGTTTTCCATTAAAATAACCATAGTACACTCAGCTCTGCATTTCATAGTTTTTTGCAGTGAAATTGAGCATACTGTCTAAGGATTCCCTTACTATACTATTGGCATAGCTATTGAAAAGATACTTATCTACATGAATGATGTAGGGTTTGGGATTGAACACTATTTGCTGTTGACTAGTTTAGCCATTGGTTAGAAAAAGCAAGAGGATTATATACTTACAATTTCATCCGTGCAATAAAGATCAGCATTTGATTTATATTACTGAGGAGCAGCATGGAAAGACATAATTACTAAAGATGTTAGACAAGAGCACAGTCAATATTTTATGAAGTTCTAAAATCAGTGGGGAATGAATTAGTGAATGTCCAAATCACATTATCATTGGAAGGACTCAAGTTATTTCTTGTCTTGATTTTAACCGACCATTTCTGTTTGAATTAGATTAAAGAGGACATTCCAGACATAAAGATGAACTTCACATCAGTAGAGAATCCTGAGAATGACAGCCAGTGTTTAAATGTCTCCTGTTCATTTCAAGTGAGTTCCCAAATTCCCTATGAGCTGCAAAACGGACAAGCACTTATCACCTTTGAGAAAGAAGAAGGTATGTCTAATCTGAAAAATAGGACCATGTCACCTTTGGAAAGGCGTTTCATAGCTATTTATTTATCATTTTACAACTTGCATATATATCATTTCTTCTCACTCTCAAAGTGACATTCTGAGGCAGATATCCCGGTTTATAGATGAGAGAACTGATTGTAAGACATAAAGTATATAAGATATTATAGACTTATAATTTCATGTGTACAATGATAGTAAAGAATCAGGGTTTTGGGACTAAAATACAGATGTTGGGATGGCTAATGCCAGCCTCTTTCAACTGCTTACACTCCCTAAATAACAATAACAGCACTGCTGTTTTAAGGTAGAAGTCCACAGTTCTCAGAAATATTACCTCATTTTATACTCATGCAATTCTGCAAACACAGTAGGATAGGACAGTTACTGTGGAGAGTGGATTATGAGAAGCCTGTGAGAACTCAGCATAAGCAAAGCAAGATGCAGCTCAGCTGTTTTTCCTAAGGTATTTATCTGTAGGTGGAGATTGGCACAGCCCGGGCCACAGAAGAGGAAAATGCAGGACAGCTGCTTCTCCTAAGTTGTTTGTTTCAGAGAAGCAGGAACGCAGGTTTCTCCTGTTATAATGTCATGCCCCTCCTCGAGAGCACAGCTCCACCCTGTTTACCACTGGGAATAAAAGACTCGCAGAAGGAGGACATGAGGCTTTTTGCTTTAGGCTTTTTGCTGGAGGCTATTGCCTTGGGGGCCTTTGCTTTGAGGCTTTTGCTTTAGGCTTTTGGGCTTTTGGTTTTTTGATGTGGGAGGCTTTTGGAAGGGAAGAGGAATGCAGAAGGGAAAATGAATTGCTGAAGGGAAAGGGCTGGAGGAAGATTGCTGAAGGGGGAAAATGAATTGAAGGGAAGACTGCTGAAGGGAAAAGAATTGCTAAAGGGGAATTGCTAGCAAACCTGAGGGCCGAGATTTTAAGAAAGCTAAAGAGAGATGCAATCCTGGGGGCAAAGACTTTACGAGCAATTAAGCTAAAGAACAGCTAAGAGAAAACATGGGACAGTGTGAGTCTAAGGAAAGAGGTTTTAAAGAATAATGAAGCCAGGTTTTAAGGAATTATAAAGGAGTAAGGCCTTAAAGAATAAAGATAGCGATAAGAAGCAGAGTAAATGAAGAGAATGATAGAGAAAAGCAGCAATGAGGCAGCTGTGTGTCTCTCCACCTGAACGCCCAACACAACCGATCCCACTTTCTGTCTTTCTATCTAGCCTGTGTCTTTTCTTCATATCCCATCACCACCCAGTTAGCCCCAGTTAGGTTCAGTAATAACCAGGAGCGACAGAAAGCTCGCTCCAAGTTACTATTTATATTTGACAGGAAAGAAAACAGATTCTGAGGGTGAGTAAATGATTTACCTAAAGACGTGTAATTAAGGGATGGACAGAGCCTGGGAGTGAGAGATTTGGGGTGGGACCTGATGTTTGCAAAGTCGGGCATGGTGTAGGGAGTTCTTGCTCAGGACTGGTGGTACCTTTGAGTGCCAGCTATGCCTCTTCCTAGAAGCAGATTTAGGGGCAAGTTCTTTATAAACCTTAAATTTTTTACGACAGGTTTTCTGGTCTCCACTTCATTGGCTGCTTTGAGTATTAAATGAGAAATGTTGACAGAATATTTAGCATATTGCCTGACACATAATAAACACTTAATAAATGTTGCTGTTATTATTGCTACGTTAGGAAGTGTCCAGATAAGGAAACAGAAGCTTAAAGAAGAGTAGTAACTTGTTCAAGTCTAGTTAATAAATTGCTGAGCTAAGAGGTAAATCCTGAGTACTGTCTTCTTTCTATTGGACCAACATTCCTCTGAGCAGGCCACCAACCCAGGGCTTCACTGTGGTATTGTGACGTTCTAGGGCGGGACCAGGTGGTCTTCAAGGCCATTGCAGTGCTTTGCTTCTGAGAATCCGTGATTATAATCATGTCTCCAGACCCATGGTAGCTTGAAACTCAGTGTTACTAGGAGAGAGTCTGAAAGATTGGTGTGTGTGCAGGTGAGGCGTACATCCTGCATTGCTTTCCTTTGCCCTGCAGCCTCCACTTCAGCTGAGGGGGAAGGGGAGACCAAGAGCCATGTTGGCAGTGGACAGTGGCAATTGGGATGTTGCTGGCAGATAACAAATGAGAATTTGGGAATAGATGTCCACACATCAGTTATCTGGGAATGCCAGAATCAGGATTCTCTTTGGAAACGGTGATGTCACTGCTTCCACCCACCCTTGACGTGGCTTTGAGGTCCCGATCTCATGGGACAATGTTAGGCTTAAACACAAGTAAATAGGAGTTAGCTTTGGACTGTGAGAGTCATAAAATTTGAGACACAAGTGGCCCTCTCCTTTGGGTTGGATCACAGATGTTGGGGACTTGGGGGGAGTGAGAGGGAAGGAGGGTCATCTGAGTATTACTTCATTAATGTTTTCTGTTATTGTTGTCTGTTGCCATTGGCAAAAAAAAAAAAAAAGGTTCTAGAGTCACATCGTACAGTGAGGCTGAATTCCCACATGACAACGCCCTGCCTGCCTTCTAGCCCTATTTCTCTCTTCTTCCAGCTGTGATGTATTACTTGGTTGTCATAAACACATGTGAGGTTTATAAGACAGGCAGTGAACATCTCTTATCTTCATGATAAATTAGAATAAACAGCTCCAAATATCAACTACTGAAATGTTATAAATTCATGATTAGAAAGAAACACCTACCCATGTACATTTTAAACTGACATATAGTTGCTTTTTGGATTTCTAATGGTTTTGACATAATTATATTACCGGGCCTCTCTCATTTATGTGGGTAAATTAGACTGGATAGCTTATGATTGGTATAGCAGGAGTCTCAAGTTTTTAAAGAATGTTCTTAAAGGCATTTTAACAAAAGTAGAATTCCTCAGTTACATATGGTAAGACAACAGCACCAACCCCTCCCCCAAATCCTCACTCTGTGATACGCAAGCCTATGCAGTCTTTAGTATGTTATCCTTGGGAAGACAGACCAAAATGAACAAATGTTTCTAATGGTGCTGGTAACATATAAGGAATGGCAAACAGTAAAGTTACATAAAATTAGTTGTAAAAACGACCGAGGCTCACAGTTTAACTAGTTTACTCAACAAGGAGGAATTTCTGGCTGGGCTTTAATGAACAAGAGAAATTCTGTGCTGATGCTGTCGGAAGTGGAAAGGAAGTAAGTGTGGCTGGACTGAAATAATATATGAATTTCTGGAGGATTATTAGGCTTATCTCTTTAGAGATAAGAGGAAAGATTCATCTCTTCAGATGAATCTAGAACTTGGTCAGAATTTCTTTTTGGTGATTCTGGAGTTTGAACTCAAGGCTTTGTGCTTTAAGGTAGGCACTCTACTGCTTGAGCCACACTGCCAGTTCTGATGAGAATTCTACGCTGTCATCTTTGCTGCTGTAGGGTGAAGTTAATGGATTGTCCTCCTGACCTGGAGATGGAGCCCAGTGGTAGAGTACTTCTTTAGCCAAATAGATATAGGATTACAGCTATGTATACATATATGTGAAATCTCTCTCTATATGTGTAATATATACATTATTATTATACATACTATATTATATACAATATACTATTAATGTATATAATGGTATACTATTAATTTATATTGTATATAATATATACAGTATAATATTAATGTATATTATATATAATATATGCAATACATATAATTTCTTTTGGTGGTAAGACCATTATCACTTGGAAATTCCCAGAAATATGTTAAAATTAGATCTTAGAAAAGTAAAACATTTAGGATAATATATTCTTAAATAAAAAGCATAAAATTTGCTCAAAATATTGGAAATGAACACTTCCTAAATTATTTTTCAGTTGCGCAAAATATAATAACCATGGGGAAACATCACGTGCAGATAGAGGATGTGAATTTGGAGGTTACTGCCCAGCCCGTTCCACTGAACCCAGGAGTCAGATTCCAGGTAGACTCATTAAAGCTTGCTGCAATTCTGTTGAACACCGGTGCTTTTCTTGTGCATACTTCTGAACATGAAATGATTTCCCAGGTTCACATAGAAGTTTCAACAGTGAAGATCAATGTTACGGGGATTCCTGATGAGTTGCCTGAAGATCAGATGAGGGACAAGCTGGAACTGAGCTTCTGCAGGTCCCGGAATGGAGGCGGAGAGGTGGAGAGTGTGGACTACGACAAGCCATCCCGAAGTGCCGTCATCACGTTTGTGGAGGCTGGAGGTACTCATGCGTTGCAAAAGCTAACAAACACTCTACCATTTCAACTCTTTTCTGCCACATCTGAAATCATGCCTATTCTACTTCTTTTGTTTGAAATTTATTAGCACAATAATTGGGGATTTTTTGAACCTTATCAAAAGGAAGAGTCCAGAAAATGATGTCGTCGAAAGCCACTGAGAACGTTTTTATTTTATCTTATTTTTTATTATATTGTTGTTGTGCTAGAGGTACAGTGTGACAGTTACAAAAGTTCTTACACTATATCATTTTTGGTGGTACTGGGGTTTGAACTCAGGGCCTTGCACTTGTTAGGCAAGTACTCTACTACTTGAGTCATGCCTCAGCCCCACACTATGCATTTTGGCCTTTCGATAGTGTTTAGGACATTTTGTTGGTGTGTCATAGTTAGAGAGAACCACGAAAGGAAGAGGTGCCGAGGGCTGCCTTAATATATTGTCTCAGAAATGGACAGTACATGGTGGAAATTTCCATAGTCAAGGATCCAGATTTTATGTTTCCAAATTCATATATTGTTTTTCTGTTCATCTTTTGGTCCATCTTTTGTATATAAAAAAATCTATGAGAGAGTCATTCATAAGTAAGAACACAGTGTAACACTCCACAGTGGGAGATAACACCAGCTTGGGAACCTGTGCTGTTGTCTCCTCTGGGTTACTCTCTAGAGGTTATGTCTAACCAGAAGCTAATGTAAATAGACTTGAAGGTTACAATGGTAACTTTGGAAGGATGTGAAGATAGATATTCCAGCAACTTCTTATAAAATGTGTCTTATGGACTTGTCACAACCAGTTATGAGGTGGGTGTTGTAATTATACCCACTGTGCAGGAAAGGAAACTTCAAGAAACCAACCACGATACCCAGTACCAAAGCAGGTGTTCACCTTAGAGCTTGCCTTCCTTCCCTCCTTCCCTCCCTTCCTCCCTCCCTCCCTTCTTTCCTTCCTTCCAGAACTTTCTCCTTTTTTTTTAAACTGTCATAAAATTTTAACCATTTTAAGTATACAATTTATGTATCAAGTTCATTTACATTATCATGCAACCATCACCACTCTGTGTCCTCAGAACTTTTTCATCATCAGACTGAAACTCTTACCCATTGAACAATAATGTTCTGTTATCTCCTTTAGCCCCTGCTAGCCACTGTTCTACTTTCTGTCTCTGTGAATTGTCTGTTCTGAGTACCTCACATAAGTGGAATCATGCAATATCTGTCCTTTTTATGTCTGGCTTATTTCACTTAGTATCTGTTTTCAAGTTCATCTGTGTTGTAGAATGTATCAGGATTTCATTTTTTTAAAGACAGAATAGTATTCTATTATGTCATGTTTTGTGTCTGTATGTGTATGCGTGTGTATCCATATCTATGTATGTGTGTCTGAGTATATATGTATGTGTGTGTACCTGCCTCTGTGTGTTCATGTGTGTGTATGTGTCTCTGTGTATGTTTGTGTGTCTCTGTGTTTGTGCATGTATATATGTGTGTGACCATATATGTGTGTCCATCTGTGTGTATCTCTGAGTGTGTCTGTGTGCATATGTGTGTCTGTTTCTATGTATGTGTGTGTATGTACATGGGTGTGTGTCTGTATATGTGTGTATGACTGTATATGCATGTGTGTATGTGTGTATACATGTGAATATGTGTATAGGTACATTGTGTGTGTGTGTCTGTATGTATACATGTGTATATGTGTATGTCTGCATGTACATGTCTGTGTGTATATGTGTGTATATGTTTGTGTTGCATGTTTTGTTAATCCATTCATCTGCTGGTGGGATTTGAGTTACTTCCATCTTTGGTTGCTGTGAATGCTGCTGCAAGTGTTGTAATAGGACACTTGTGCGCAGCGTTTGTGTGCATCCCCGCTCTTGGTTCTGTTGGGTATATAACTGGAAGCAGAGTTGCTAAGTCATGGTAATTCTAGTTTAATACTTTGAGGAGTTGCCACATTGTTTTTCCACAGTGGCCACTTGAGTTTACATTCATATCAGCCAGGTTCCAAGGCTGGTTTCTACACATCCTCAACACCGAGTCCGCACTGTTAACCTCCATGCTATGTGGTCAATCTAGGCGGACTAGCTGGGGAGCTTCAAGATAATGTATGTATATGTATACACATACATAAGCACCCACAACCCCCCCCTGCCACATACATTTATTCATTTGTGGTACTAAGGTTTGAACTTGACCTTGTGCTCGCTCTAACACTTCAGCCATGGCTCCAGCCCTTTTTGCTTCAATTATTTTTTTAGATAGGGTCTTACACTTCTGCCTGGGGTAAGCCTCAGGCTGTAATCCTCCTACCTATACCTCTCATGTAGCAGGGATTACAGGTACTACCATACCCAGCTCATTGGCTGGGATGGCCTCAAACCATGATTCTCCTTATTTCTGCCTCCTAAGTAGCTGGGATTACAGGTGTGTACCAATGTAACTAGCTAAAATATATTTGTAATTCATATTACTTATATAGTAATAATAATAGTTTTAATATATACTTCTTGAGAAACTGGTTATTGTATTCCATCGTATTTTGTGTAGCTCGATGTCTGAGGATACTGCAACCCTCTGTTCATTCATCGATTGCTGTCGGTAGTTCAAGACAGAGGAACTGACCAAACTTTGTTGTTTGGTCTTGTGTTCTTCAAAATTGTGTGCTATGAAGTCTTCAATATGCACTGTAGACTGTTTTAGAAATGGATCACTAAATTTAGTGCTTACCTTTATCTTAAAGTGATTATGATATTAAAAAAGAACAATGTTTTGTTTGCCTTTAGTTGTGGACAAGATTTTGAAAAAGAAAGACTATCCTCTTCATATAAATCAGAGGTGCCATAGAGTGACTGTTTCTCCTTACATAGAAAAACACTTGAAAAAGTATCAGGTAAAGTCTTCTCTTTCCTTTCATTTTGAGAGCTTACTGGCCAAACTTGCCCCTCAAAAAATAAAGAACAAGTCTGATAAGACTGTTTGAGTCTTATCAGTAAGAGGTATTGAAATAGTTTTCACTTTATTTCTGCTTGGTGTAGAATGACTTTGTCTTCTTAAAGAATATTTTAATGTAAAGCTGAGTCTTTTTTTCCCCTTTCATTCTTTTTTAGTACTGGGGTTCGATTTCAGGGCCTATACTTGCTAGGCAGACACTTTACCACTTAAGCCATAAGCTATATCCCTAGCTTCCCCCCCCCACCCCAGGTAGCATCTTACACTTATTTCCCAGGTGGACTGCAATTTTCCTACCTGTGCCTTCTGCATAGCTGGGAGCTGGGATTAGGGACATGTGCCATCAGGCCTGGCTTGTTCTTTGTCAGTATCTTTTAGTTTTTGGTTTTTTTTTTTTTTTTTTTTTTTTGGTGGTACTGGGGTTTGAACTCAGGAATTTGCACTTCTGAGGCAGACACTTCAGCTTGGATCATGCCTCCAGACTGACTTGTTCTTTGATAGTCTCGCAAACTTTTTGACCACTGGGCTTGAACCTCAGTTCTTCCTCTGCCTCCTCAGTAGCTGGGATTAAAGGTGTGAGCCACCATACTAGCCTATTTTTCATTTTTCTTGACCTTCAACACTCACTGGTCACTAAATCTTGTCAGTTCTATGTCTGGCTCTTCCTTTGACTGGTCTTTCTGCCCCTTAAACTTCCCCAATCTCCTATTTCTACAATGCCATCAGAGTCGTATCTCTGAAACTCAGGTGTACCTTGAAAGTGTTCCTAAGGCTCCCTCGTCTCCTCTAAGATAAAATCCAAAACACTAAATGCAACTTTTGAATGTAAATAATTTTATAATTCAAAGCTTTTACATTTTTCTATTTATCTTTTTTTTTTTCCTTCTTAGGTATTTTCAGGAATGGCTAAGAGGACGGTGCTGCTAACTGGAATCAAAGGCATTCAGATGGATGAAGAAACGGTGGAGGATTTGATTGGTATTCACTTTCAACGGCAGAAGAATGGAGGTGGAGAAGTAGAAGTGGTCAAGTGTTCTTTATGTCAACCTTACATAGCATATTTTGAAGAAGAGACCAACGGAATTGTATGAAACTTACAGCTTTTGAGTCCAAATCACTATGAACATTTGATAAAAAATGAAAACTTTAATTCATTTTTTCTTTTTTTGAGACAAGGACTTGCTATGTAGCCTTGCTATGTGACTTAGAACTTGCAATCTTCCTGCTTCAGCTCTCTAAATTCTAGGATTATAGATGTACCCCACCATGCTTGGCTTAAATCTTTAATTCTTTAGTGCCCATGAATTCTTAGAAATAAAAATGTGTTTCCACGTTTTGAAACTCTTTTTTTGTCTCTAGCTCTGCTGTAGGCTGACAAGTATATGAGTGTACTGTGTGGAAAAGTTTTGTCCATAAGTTATGTGGATGAGTTCCATGACTGTTGAAATCAACCTTAAGTCACCCAGATATCCCCGCCTGTGTTGGCCTGCTCTGTCATGGTCATGTGAGCCAGTTCTGTTTTGGTCCCATGCCCGCCACTATGTAGACTTGATACATAAATATTTTCCAAAAGAAATTCAGTTCTATTTTGCAGTTTATTATTTCTATGGACTTTACCAAAGATTCAAGGGACTGTAATTTATGTAATTTATATTTGCCATTAAGAGACTCTCCTGTCTGTCATCCTTTGGGAGTTGGAAGATTATTTAAAGCTTTCAAAAATATTAAGAAGGTCTTATCTGTTTTCTGTTGCTATAGTAGAATACCTGAGTCCAGGAACTTGTAAAGAGTAGAAGTTTACTTAGCTCATAGTTTTAGAGGCTGGGAAGTCCAAAAGCAAGTTGCATCTTACGTCTTCTTGGCATCTGGTGAGGGCCTTCTTGCTGAGTGAGAACACAGTGGAGGGCATCACATGGTGATGTCTATCCCATGCTAACCAATTAATCTATGTATCTATGAATCCAGGAATGGATTAATCAAGTTGTGAGGCCCACAGGCCTCATGACTTAATCACTTCCCAAAGGCCCCATCTCCCAATACTGTTAACATGAGTTTGGGAATTAAGTTTCTAACACATGAATTTGGGAGACACATTCAAACCATAGTAAATACAAGCAAACCCTTCCATGTACTGTTCTAGCTTCTGTAGATGCAGTGTTACTAGGACAAAAGGTATTGTTTATAATTGGTGGCAGATTAGAAAAAAACTCTTTCAATATTTAGAGTTGAGTTTGAAATAGTCATTTTGACTCCTTTTCATTTGATTCCAAATTTTCAAAATGGTTTCTGACAAATATGCTTTAGTTACGTGGACTTTCCTGTGGGGTTCTTTACATCAACCCTCAAGGGCAGTTTGGCTGGATATAGAAATCAAGCCATGACTCTCCTGCTAATTCCTTGGAACTTAGAAATTTTATAGGAGGAAATGTGTTTTTCAAAACTTATCAAAAATTGCCAAATGCTGGTGCCTCATGCCTGTAATCCTAGCAACTTGGGAGGCTGAGGGAAAAACAACAACAAAAACCAAGTTACCAAAATTACTTCACTGACTATTTAACAAATTTAGTGTTAAGTTAGGAGGCCTTAAAATGTGTGTTGAAAATGAGACGGCTCTCTTAATGTGTGAAAAGACGTTGGTTAGGAAGGACAGATAATTGCAGGCTCCTCTCGATATTTGCTGATATATCAGTCAGGACAGGTTAGGTTGTGCTGTGGTTACATTTTCCCACCCCTTATCCTTGAGGTCTAAAAAAAATAAAAGTTTAATTCTTTTTTTTTTCTGTGGGATTGGGATTTGAACTCAGGGCTTCACATTTGCAAAGCAGGTGCTCTACTGCTTGAGCCACACCTCCAGTCCATTTTGGTCTCATTATTTTGGAGATGGGGTCTCTTGAACTATTGCCCTTAGCTGGCCTTGAACCACGATCTCAGCCTCCCAAGTAGCCATTGGTGCCCTGCAAAAGTTTAATTCTTAGTAATGCTGAATGGTAGGGGGACTCTATTTTTCTCACTTGGAGGCCTCATCTTGAGTCATGCTTTCAGCATCGTAGAGGTAGGAAAAGTGAGTTTTGGAGAGTCTTGATCCAGCAAATAAGTGCTTTGATCCGGAAGTGACCCTTTCCTCTCACATCTTATTTGTCAGAAGTAGTCACATAGCCTCATCTAAATAGAAAGGGAGTAGAAAATTCTGTCCTGTATAATGTTAGAAGAACAAGATGTGCCTGAGCCAGATTAATAACCAGCATTCTGTTCTCTGTCCAAATAGTTTCATGTTGTTCTTTTGCTCTAGTGAGATACGATACTCAGGATATGGTAGGTGATATTACTGAAAAAATTCAGTGGCTTAACACATCAGAGTTTTATTTCTGAATCATGTAAATTTTGTGAGGCAACTCTCCAGTATAGTTGTCTTTTGCATGTCAGTTCTCTGATGAACCTTCTCTTCAATCCTTGCTTCTACAAGAACCATGGCAACAGAAGGGAGTGATGGAGACTCTCGCATTGACAACTGAATGCTTCTACCCAGGTATGAGGCATATTGCTTTCTCTAACATTTCGTTGACCAATTGAATTGGATGACCATGTCAAAGGGGGAAAAGGGGACTCTCTCCAGGTATCTAGATGGAAAAGAACAAGGGGGAGGTCTCCATGTGTCTGGATAGAAAAACCAAGGAATATTGGTTAGCAGTGCTAGTGCTCATAAGTATACACACACATAAATACACACACACCTTGTTCTATTTACTCATTCATCTGTTGGTAGATAGTTCAGATGCATCTACCTTTTGGCTATTGTGAATATGTTGCTATGAATATGGGTGTACAGATATCTCTTCAAGTCCCTGCTCTCCACTGTGGGTATATAACTAGAAGTGGAATTGCTAGATCATATGACCATTCTAAATATAATATTTCAAGGAATTACCAAACTGTTTTCCACAGAAACTCCTCTCTCTCTCTGTCTCTCTCTCTCTCTCTCTCTTTAGAGATTTGTTATGAAGAAACTACATGATCGTGTATCTACAAGCTACAGAGCCAGGGAAGCTAGTGGTGTAGTTGCAGTTTGAGCCTGTAGGCCCAAGAATCAGAAATTCCAAAGTCTGAGGGCAGGACAGGGATGTTCCTGTTTTAAAAGAAAGAATGAATTTGCCCTTCTTCTACCTTTCTGTTTTCCACAACAGAATGGATGATGCCTGCCCACATTCGCGCAGGTAGATCTTAATTTTTGCTCAATCCACCAATTGAAATGCTAAACTGTCCTGGAAACGCTTTTGCAAACATACCCAGCTATCTGAGCATGCCCTAGCCCAGTCAAATCAACACATCGACTATTACATTATTGTGTTAGTTTTCTGACCCTGTGATGAAATACTTGAGACAGTCAGCTTAAAAGGAGGAAAGATTTATTTTGGCTCACAGTTTCAGAGGATTCAGAGCATGGTCATTTGGCCCTGCTGCTTTGGGCCTGTGGGGAGGCAGAGTGTCATGGTGAGGTCAGTGTGATGGAGCAGAGCTGCTTTTCTCCTGGTGGTAAGGAAGCAAAGACAGGAAGGGGCTGGGATCTCAAATCCCCTTCCAGGGCATGCCCCCAAATAACCTGACTTCCTTCATTTACACTCCACTTCCTGAAGGTTCTACACATCCCAATACTGAATGGCACTACAGACTGGTGGTCAAGCCTTTAGCATATGGCCTTTGGGGGGACATTTGCCATCCAAGCCATAAAAGTCTTATATATGAGGGTTTATTCTGCTCCATTAGTCTATATGTATGTCCTTATGTCATTACTTTTTTTTTTTTTTTGGTGGGACTGGGGTTTAAACTCAGGGCTTCATGCTTACAAAGCAGGCACTGTACCACTTGAGCCGCAGCTCCAGCCCATTACTATTGTTTTAAGTATTATATTTTCATAATAGGTTTTGAAATCAGGATGTGTGAGCCCTCCAGTTTTTTTCTTCTTTTTCAAGATAGTTTTGCCTATTTTGGTACCTTGATGTATTAGTCAGACTTTTCATTGCGGTGAAAAAATACTTGACATAAACAAGCTAAGGGGAAAGATTTATTTTAGTTCTTGGGTTCAGAGGTTTCCATCGTATTCCTTGGTTCTGGTGATTCTGGGCCCATGGTGAGGCAGAACTTCACAGAGTAGGAGCAGGTGGCAAAGGCTGTTCATCTCCTGGTGAGTAGGAGAGAGGGAAGGGACCAGGGACCAGGTATAACCTGCAAAAGCATGCCTCAGGTGACCCATTTCTCCAGTGAGGCCCCACCTCTTAAAGTTTCCACCACTTCCAAAAATACTGCCACCAGCTGGAGACAGGGTTTTCCCCACAAGAGCCTGTGGGAGACATTTCATATTTAATCCATAACACTTGAAATTCCATTAAAAATTTAATAAAAATTGTTTTTTTTTTCCTTTTCCTTGTAAGACAGGGTATCACTATGTAGTCCAGGCTGGCCTTGAACCTGGGATCTTCCTCCTGCCTCAGCCTCCCTAGTATTAGGATTATAGGAAAGATGTAGCATGCCTGACAGACTTGGTTTTTCTATCTTTGCAAAAAATGTTTTGGGATAATAGTAGGAATTGCATTGAATCTGTAGACTGCTTGGTGTAGTAATGTTGTATTAACAAACAAAACTTTAGAGTCATATACCAAAATACTTATGGGGGAAATAGTATAATGTTTGGGATTTGCCTCAAAATAATATGGAAAGAGAGAAGTGGGTGGGGGCATAGCTGAGGCAGGGTAGATCACGGACTGATGGCTATGAAGGTTGGGGAATGAGTAAGTGAGGTTCAACTCTCAAGTTTCTCTCTTTTTGTATTTACATTGAGTTTCCCATAATGAAAGTTAAAAAAAAAAAAAAAGTGAAGATGGGAACTCTGTATTTTCTAGTCAATATTGCTGTGAACCTAAAACTACTCTAATGACAAAGTTTATATATAAAAAAAAGTAGGGATTAAAGTTTTCCCTGCTGTTGCTCATAAGTATATTGAAAACAATTAAAATTTGTGTTACAGTATAATCCCATATTTCTTTCTATGAAAATATTAAACATTGTTGCACGACTTTAAAAAAAGATTCTGGGGGATAGGGATATGGCTCAAGTGGTAGAGCTCCTGCCTAGCAAGCATGAGGCTCTGAGTTCAACCCCCAGAACTGCCAAAAAAATTCTGGGCCAGGTGCATGCCTATAATCCCAGTCACTTGGGAGGTGGAGATCAGGAGGATTGCAGTTCCAGGCCAGTATGTACAAAAAGTTAGTGAGACCCTATCTCACTCAATAGGCTAGGTGTGGTGGTGTGGGCCTGCCAAAGTATGTGGGAGACTGGAGGCAGAAGAATCACAGTCTGAGGCCACCACAGGTTAAAAGCACAAGATTCTGCCTGAGAAATAAGTAAAACACAAAAGGGCTGGTGGTGTGGCCCAAGTGGTAAAGGGCCTAAAAGTCTGAAGTCCTGAGTTTAAACCTCAGTACTGCAAAACAACAACAACAACAACAAGATTCTTCCTGACTATGTTATGTATCAAGAAAATAAACTGGAGCTGGGCACAGGTGGATCATCTTGTAATCCTAGCTACTTGGGAGGCTGAGATGGAGAGGATTGCTGTTCAAGGCCAGCCCTGGCAAGTAGTTCTCAAGACTCCATCTCCAAAATAACCAAAGCAAAATGGACTGGTGGTGTGGTTTTAAACCGTAGAGCTCCTGCTTTGTGAGCTTGAAGTCCAGAGTTCAAATCTCAGTCCCACCACAAAAAAAAAAAAAGAAATTGGGTGATAAAGGTTAACCAAGGAGGTGGGAGTGTACCTCAGTAGAGGCCTAAATGACATCTTCAAATTTTAGTAGCCATCTTAGCCTCCTAGAGCTATTGTCTTAATGACTAAGTGTTGCTGGAAGACATGACCATGTGTATTTCCCCAGTTCGGAAAGTATCAGACTACAGATAGGAACCACTATTTTGAGTCTTTTCTCCCATTTCCTGTGTGCAAGGACCGAGATAGATAGCTGAACTAACTTTTAGATAACAAAAGTGAAACCAGAATTTTGGACTCCTGGCCCAAGGTCCTGGACTTCCACATACATGTCCAGCCACTCACCCCCATATGCCAAAACCAGAGACATGGTGAAGGGTAGAGAAAGGAAATTTATTACAGGGCCCCAAACACTCCACTGGAAGAGGCAGAGAAAACACTCAGCCCATCTTCAGCCATCTTTGGTGCACAGTTATGAGTTTAGCTTTAAACAACAAAGAATTAGGGGCAGGGGACAAAAGGTGTGCACAGTTAAATAGTCCCAGTCACAGGTATGTTCTGGTTGAGCATTATCTCCAGTCTGAGGATTCTGGAGAAAGTTTCTAGTGAAGTTATTGCTATCATCACTTGTGGGGAGCAGTCTGGTTCTCATGAGATGATTACTCCTGTTCTAGGGTGCAGCCTCATCATTATAGGTAATTGTTCTCATTTGGGGGGGGCGGGTCTGTCCTGCAAGGCTCCACTGTTCTTTAGGGGTAGTTCAGTCCTTTGTCATAAACTTGTTATCCATCATTCCTATCCTTTCTTGATTCTAAGATAGCTGCAGGAGAGAATGGCTCAGAGCAAATGACAACAGGTACAAAATGGAAACAGATGCCAAGCTTATGTCCTGCTTTTAGTTAATTCATGGGCCCAAGTAAGGAGTCAGTGCTTTTCAGCAAAAGCAGTTTAGGCACCAATTATAAAAGGAGCAGGGAGAAGGGAAAGAGTAACCCTTTCAGGCATTATATAGATTGTTTTGGGAGTGAGAGAGGTCTAGTTTCCAAGACCCAATTCTTTTATGACTGGCTTAGGGGCAACAACGGGGAAGGAGACAGGAACTGATTCTGAGGCCCTTCTGATGTGTTTCTTATAAAGTACTCAGTATACCAACGTGCCACACTCTTCTGTATTATGTTCTGAGTCCCCAAGTCCTCAGAAGTGTTGGCATCTAAACATGCTCGTAGAAACTTTTTTTTTTTTTTTTTTTTGCGGTAGCGGGATTTGAACTCGGGGATTCGTACTTGTTAGGCAGGCACTCTACCACTTGAGGCACTCCTCTTGCCTCTGCTCTGCTTATTTTGGAGAGAAGGTCTCCCTCTTTTAGCTGGGATGACAGCTTAAAAAAAAAAAAGTGAGGTGGGGGTTTCAGGAGACCATCGTCCTTCCATCCCTGGCCTGGAACTAAGATCCTCAGCCTTCCACTTAGCTTGGGATGACAGGCTTGCCATTGGTTACAGCTATTAGTTGAAAAGGGGTCTCTCTAACGTTTTTTTGTCTAGGCTAACTAAACACCTCTATCCTGATCTCAGCCTTCCTAGGATTACAGGTGTGAGCCTCCAGCATCTGCCTGATGTTTATAGTCCCGCTAACATTGGGTATTATCACGCTTTTTAATTTTGCCAAGCTAGTGGTAGAAAAATGGTATCTCATGATTTCAATTTATGTTTCTAGGAGTGGGAGTGAGCTTCTTCCTCATGTTTTCTTTGATTAGACTTTGACGTTTGTAGGTAGAGCCCTGTGTCTTAGATCCCAGACTCAGGCACTCCGAGGACAAAAGTGGTGGACACTGCACAGGTTCAGTGTGCAGGAAGACAGTGGTGGAGATAATGGGTCAAGAAAGACTCGCCAGATTCCACCGAGGCGGGGCAGACATGGCCCGGAGAACCCCAAATTTCCGTCGGGGACGCATCGGGTCTGTCTCCCGCGTGCTTTCAAAAGTTGCAAAGCTACCGAGGGCGTCTGGATCAGCGCCCGCAGCGGCCTTTCCTTGCTCCATCCGGAGGCCAGGGCCACAGAGGAGCCGGTGGGGAGGAAGGGCCGCCCTTTTCTTAATGGTCTCCAAGGGAGCAGGAACAAAAAACCGAAACCAAAACTTGGGCCCGCCCGGTACCCGCCGCCGCGCTTCCCGCTGGCCGCCCACGCGCGTCTCCTCTCCGCCATGGCAAGTTGCTTTTCTTTGGGGTTTGCGGTGCCCGCCTGTGCCCAAGCGGTCACCAGGTCCCCCAGCAGGGCACGGAATCCCGCAGGGTTGGCTGGGTGCGGGTCGGGCGCGCGGTGCGCGGAGGGCGCAGGACCGCGGAGATCCGCGCACGCGAGTGGACCTGGTCCGATTCTCTGCACCTGCCGGGCCGCGGCCCCGCGCGTTCCCGTGCGTTCCTGAGACCCGGCGCTGGCTGCGCGCCCCAGGCTCGCTCCTCCGCGCGGGGACGCGGGCTGCCACCTCCCTCTCCCCGAGCCCCTCTAGGGACACCACAGTTTCCTGGAGGAGTCGCATCGCAGATTGTGTTGGGGCTCAAGTGTCGTCCTCCCACAGCTCGAGGGACGAAAGAGGTCAGATGGCCCAGAAATGGAGGCCGCAGATCCCTCTTGGAAAAGAGCTAGTAAGGGGGGTCGGAGCCAAGGGCGCGAGTCCCGCAGGCTTCCCGCGACTGCTTGGCGCAGTCATCGCTTCCGTGGGCTCTGTTCCTCTCCAGAGACAAAGGGCTCTGTGTTTCCCCATCTGTGGTGGTGGAAGAACGGTGTGCAAATTCAAGACTAGGCCGTGTTTGCGTGCGCGCGCGCGTGTGTGTCCCCTCCCTGCTCACCCTCCCTATCTCAGCCTCCCAAGTAGCTAGGACTTAGGGTTTGAATTCAAGGTGTCACCTTTGCTTGGCTCTACTGCTTGAGTCACACCTCCAGCCCTGTTTGCTCTGGCTATTCTGGGGATAGGATCTCGCTTTTGGACAGGCTGGCCTGGACTTGTATCCTCCTATTTTAAATTTCCCTTGGCTGGGATGATAGACGCTCACCGCCGCACCCATCTTTTTTCTGTTAACATGGGGTCTCCAGAATTTATTTGCCTGGACTGCCCTGGAACCGCCATCATCCTGCCTCCCAAGAAGCTTGGGATGACCCGACTTTATTTTCCTTCTTAAGGGAGAATAGAAGAGATTAACAATTCTCACTGTTCATAATTGACCTCAGTAAAATGATGCGTGATAGCCATAGTTTCTAACATGTGGACGGAAGTTAAGAAAGAATATGGCAGGTATTTAAATAATTCATTAGAGAATTTGTAAAAATTAGTGAGCTTTTGACACATGAATTAAGAAATATGTTAGTATTGGTGGTGGCATAAAAGCAGAGTAAGATTTTCTGAATTTAAATTGATTGGAAGTTTTTCTTTGACGCTGATGAATAGCAAAAGGATAATTCACCAGCCATTTATCCACTGAGGCTGGTGTGGGCTGTCAGAGCAGGATGTTTTATTAAGATAGATTTTCAGATTCCCTGAAAATCCAAAGAATCTCTTCAGTCATTTTTCCTCTTGTAAGGGGGAATTATTTAGGGAAAATTACATTGTACCACTTGGACTAGGCTGTACAAAGATTTAAGTCATGTATTTTTACTGTTTCCCTACACAATCTAGACAAATTGTTTTCCTCCGTTAAAAGTACCTCCATTAACAAATAGCCACTAGGTTTTGTTGCATTTTATTTTCAGGAGGCACACCTTTGTTTTATGTTTGCATTAACAGGAGCCATTTTCACCCTCCCCTACGTGTGTATTTGCATTTGCTTTAAACTCTTCTTTTTTAGGTGTCTTGGCTTCATCAATTTAAATTCCACTCCAGCCTTCAAGGCCTCTTTTTCATATAGCCTTTTTCGGATTGCTTTAGGATGGCATTGATTATAATTTTAGGATTTTATGGTGGGTGGTCTGTGTCCTTCTTGCATTGTGTGTTGGTCTATTTCCTCCTATAGAGCAACAGATCTCCCAGCCTCTTTTGAAATGACTTACTTATCTGTCTGCCTCCTTCTCTACCATAAGATAGGAGCCCTATCTTTTAATAATGTTCTTCTTTTTTTTTTTTTCCCCTGGTGGTATAGGGTTTGAACTCAGGGCCTCAGGCTTGCTAGGTAGGTGCTTTACCATTTGAGCCACTCCGCAGTCCTTTTTTGGTGTTTGGTATTTTCGAGATAGGGTTGCGTGAACTATTTGCTTGGGGTGGCTTCGAATTGTGATCCTTCTGATCTATGCTGCCTGAGTAGCTAGGATTACAGGTGTGAGCTACCAGTGCCCAGCCAATAATGTTAATCTTAAAGCCTATCTGAGTGCACCATGCATAATGAATACTCAGTATGTTCCTTTCTATTTTCTCTCTCTCTCTCTTTTTAACCAATACTCAGTAATTTCTTGTGGGAGAATTGAATTTTAGGGCAAGGGGTATACTGTCTTTGCATGAATTGTTTCTAGTTCCCAGCATATTGCCAGGCATAGAACATATCCTTAATATAGTATTTCTTCATTGATTAATTGCCAAGATACTATATTATATTGTCTAAGAAATTCAGGTGTATATTGTGAGTTTACAAACACCATTTTCATTAGACAGGTACATTTCCATCCCCTTATTTTATCAGTTACCAGCTGAAGTACTAGAGCTGTTGAAAGAGTACTTATCATGGAGACAGTCACCAGTGACTTTAGTCATTATATGTTGACTCCTAGTATAATAACTGAAGATTTACTTAGATAACTTCTGACTTCTTTTCTTACCTTCCAAGTTTGAAAGTTGTACTGTAATATTATTTTTAATTCCCCCTTAGGTTATTTTTGTAATTTTCATGTGGAAACTTAAAATGTAGATATGATTCTCTGTAATGTCAGAGATTATTCTTCCTTTTACCTTTTTACTCCACTTTTGGTTAACTTTGCTTTCATTTTTACATGACAGGGTTAAATTTTTCCATTTTATCCTTTAACCATTATTTAAGTCTTTAGTATTTTAAAGACTTAGCAAGTTTTGTCTAAAAGTTAAAAACCAATAATAGCACATTGTAAACAGTAAATACCATTTACAGCAGGGCCTAATTATGTGCTGTGATTATTTTTTCTCTTTTTGGTCCAATATCATGTGCAATTTTCCTTTTCCACTCACAGAAAAATGTTTCCAGTGACTGGGCTGAGTGAATTTTTTTGTTTTGGTATTCCATAATGTACTCAAAATCATGCTACACTTTAGTTTGGATATGCTCTTTAGGCTCTGGCTCCTTCACATGCCAGAAAAAGGTGGAGCACTCACTCAGGTGATCATGCCAGCAGATCAGGTTCTCCATAAGTTTTCCATTAGTGTCTTTTTTCTTAAGTAAAATGATCCTCACTGTTTTTCCCCAGGTTCTGCCCCAGTGGCCTTCATTGTGTCACGTGTGCTCAAGTTTGTGCTTTAGAATTGGGGGTAGTCAATGTGGGAGATAGTGGGCAATTGTTTTACCAACCTTTCATCAGCCTCTTGTCTTTGGTCCTGTTTTTCATCTCTAAGATTGTGCTGTGTAGGTGGTCACCTTTATCCTGCAACCCCCTTTGGTGTATTCTAGGTTGGCTCCTTTCTCTGTCTTATCCTTACATATGCTTCTGTGTGTTTTCAGTCTTCCAGCAATTTTTTTCAAATCTCCTACTCTGATTGCTTCCCTTAACTGGCTTTATACTTTTACTTTCATTTTAAGGGGCCTCTGGGATGGTCACAACACTGTGTGTGCATAGACAGCCTTCTGGGACTTCCTTCTGGGAGGTCAGTAGGTTTTCTATTCTCAGTGAAGTCTTATTCCAAGTACAGAGTCCTTTGAACTGAGAGTCCAAAGCTCCTTTGCAGCCTGTTAATTATCACTTGGGCTCATGAGATGCCCTGTCCTCCCTCAGGCAATTAAGACAGATTATGTCTGAGCTTTGGCACAGTCCGGCTAGACTAACTGTATAAGCAATGGGAGCAACTGAAGGTTCATTTCCCCAAACGGGGCTGGAAGACAAATAAAAACATTTAAATGGAAACACTTTAAGTAGATAATTCAAGAGGTTCAAAACCAGTGAATCCAGGGACAGGTTTCAGTCATCCTCTGTGTCCACCATGATGGCTGAGTCTGTGTTAGCATCAGTTGTCCATGGCTGAATTTCACCTGATTCCTGTGGAAGGTGTTATGTACTCTACTGCAGCCCCCATGCTATTGCTAGGGTTTTCTGCATTTTTTGATGACTTTTCTTCAATGCTGAGGATTGATCCCAAGGCTTCCCACAGGCTAGGCAAGTGTGCTACCACTGATCTACATCTCTAGCCCAGTTTGATTTTTTTTTTTACATTTTAGTTTTTTAAATTTGTAATTCCAAATCTTTTCTTTTGTGATATTTTCTGTTGTTTTTGATCCTTTCTAAAATCAAATTATTAACCTGTATTTTCTGATTATTAAAAAAAGGGGTCATTTTTGACATTTAGCTCAAATTCAACTAAAGTTTATGTTGGTAGATGGAATGAGGCAAATGTCTACTCCCTTCCCTTTTAAAAAAGTATCTAACTAGTTACTTTGTCACCTTTATTGAATAAGATATTGTCTCCTACTGGTTTGTGATGTCACCTTTATTTAACAGAGTATTATATTATTAAAGAATATATTACTGTTTTTCTTACAGGCATCCATTTTGTATGTCAAAGAACCCACAGCTTGGGAAAGAACAATTGTAGTTGCTGGCCTTCCCTTCAGCCTTTTTAATGATCAGCTATTGGCCATATTTGTGAAGAGTCACTTCCAAGATATTAAGAATGAGGGTGGAGATGTTGAAGATGTGATATATCCAACAAGAACCAAGGGAGTTGCATATGTAATATTCAAAGAAAGAAAAGGTATTTCTGTGTCAAGTTTTTATAATCTGAGAAATACTTCAATGAATTTAAAATTTCATTTTGTGAAAATGACTCATGGGGTAGGTAAAATTTAATGTAGCTTTTTAAAAAGCTTATTTAATTCTGAATATAAAAGTGACCAGTATGGTATTAGCAAGAATGTATAATAGTCGTTAAACTAATGATAAAATTGTTAGTGACTGGCAAATTTTGAAGTCTTCTTTTTTCTGTATTTTAAATTTGTCTGTTTCTTGGGGTAAGATATTGTGGAAAACTTGTAAAACACAGAAAAAATGAAGAAAACCCTACTTAAATTATATATACTCTCATAAACAAGATAAGTATTTTGGGAATTTTGAGGTAGCTGTAACAATGTAATTATACTTTCTGCTTCTCTGTGTTCAAACCATCAAGTGGATATTCTAATACAGTATCTGCTTTATTACTGGTAAGGTTGGATTGAGAAATGTGGCATGGATCTGAGATCAGATTGAACCTATCTGCATCCCACCTCCATTCCTGACAAGGAGGGAGACCCAGCTATATGGAAGGGGCAGCTTTCCTTATAGCTTAGTGGCTGGTGGAATACAATGCCAGAGAAAGGCCAGGCTCCCTGGCATCCTCTCAGAGGTAAAAGTAGCACGTGGGAACATGAGCAAAGGCAGAGATCCACTCTGCTTGGGGAAAGAGGGTCCAGAGAGAGATCCAAGAGACTGGGTTATCTGTACTGTTAACTGTCATCTGAGCTAAGTCATTTCTTTTCAGTGGGAATGTTCAGGTAAGGGATGGTGGGAAGGGCTCATTCCTCCATTTCCAAATATTTATTGAGTGCTTATTATTATTATTATTTGTCAGGCACTAGTCTAGGCATTAAGGATACAAGCAGTGAATGGAATAGGTAGTCTTTTCACTCATGAAATATTCATCTGTGGGAATACACAGATACTAAACAATGATATATGTGTGTTATTACTTTACTTATATATACTTATATATTTATATATTAATACATAATATTAGTGCTATGAAAAATTATAAAGAATTACAAAGGGATAATATGTGATGGATGGTGCTGTTTTAGATAGCATAAGTAGGAAAATATATATATATGAGATTAGGGGTCTCATGTTGCCTAGGCTGGCTTCAAACTTGAGGTCTTCCTGCCTCAGCTTCCCAAGCACCTGAGATTAGCAATGTGGGTTACCAGGACTGCTGGGAAACTCTCTTTTTGTTTCTGGAGGTGCTGGTGATCAAACCCAGAGCCTCACACTTGCCAGGGGAAGGCTCTCCCACTTAAGCTATACCCCAAGCCCTGTGATACTTTGATTAAATGACCTTGGAGCAGAGACCTGAATGAAGTAAGAGATTGATATGCAGGTAAGAGGAGGAGCATTCTAGGATGAGCAAAGGACTGGTAAAAGTTCTGGAAGGCAAAAATGCTGGGCGTTTGAAGGAACAGCAAGGAGGCCTGCTTCACTGGAATGGAATGAGTTGGAGGGTAGAGAAATAGATGTGGTCAAACCTGCAGCTGGGGTTTGTACTAAGTAATTTATGGGTTAAGACAAGTTGTCTGGATTTCCTTCTGGGCAAGATGGGAAGCCTTGGAGGGTTGTGAGCAGAGGATTGTGACAAGATGGAACTGCTTTTTTTAGACATTGGCAGTTGCTAGTCACCTCTGCCTTTGATATGGTATAGCAGAGCCATACCTTGGCCATTCAGGGATTTGTCATTTTTGAGGTGGGAAGACTGAGTTAGTATGTTTAGGAGGGGAGAGTTACTGGGAGCTGAGTTTTGGTCAGTGGGATGCCCATTAGGGTAATGAAGTAATGAAGTGGAGGTAGAACTTGAAAGCATTGCATATAGTGATGGGGTCTGATGTCACGGCAATTTAGCTACTCAGGGTGGATGCAGGTGTGCCAAAGTCTGCAATCTGAGGTCTGGGATTTGCCAGAGTCTAGGGAATGGGAAGAGATGGGGGGTTAGCAAAGAAGACCCAGAAGCCCAGGAAAAGAATTAGGAGGAGAACTAGGACAGTGTGGAATTCTGATTCACAAAGGTGAAGTCTCTGTATGACCAGAATTAACAGTGGGAGAGTGACTCTGAGGTTGTTATTTTCCATTCATTTATGTTTAGAAAACACCTATTTATGTTTTTTAAAACATGATTTGGGTCATATTGACACATAAATTGAACTTTGATGTGATAAAGTGCAAGGAAAGGATAATTTGAAGATAATTTGATCTTCCGGGCACTGAATGAAAATAACTTCAACCCCAGGATACTCTACCCAGCAAAGCTATCATTCAAAATAGATGGAGCAATAAAAGTCTTCCATGATAAGCAGAAACTAAAACAATATGTGACCACAAAGCCACCATTACAAAAGATTCTGCAAGGGATCCTACACACAGAAAGTGACACCCAACTTAACCATGAAAAGGTAGGCAGCACCAAACCACAGGATAAGAAAAAGCAAGACAGTAGAGAGTAACATCAAGTTAGGTACACACAATCAAACCTTCAAATAACTAAGACAACTAAATGGCAGGAATCACCACATACCTATCAGTACTAACACTTAATGTTAATGGACTTAATTCACCCATCAAAAGACACCGTTTGACAAAATGGATTAAAAAAGAAGATCCAACAATTTGTTGCTTACAGGAGATCATCTCACCGACAGAAATAAGCATAGCTTAGGATGAAAGGCTGGAAGAAGATTTACCAAGCCAATGGGCCCGAAAACAAGCAGGAGTAGCAATACTTATCTCTGACAAAGTAGACTTCAAACCTACATTGATCAAACGAGATAAAGAAGGACATTCCATACTAATAAAAGGGGAAATAGACCAAAAGGAAATAATAATCATCAATCTGTACGCACCCAATGTCAACGCACCCAATTTCATCAAACATACCCTGAAAGACCTAAAAGCATATATAAACGCCAACACAGTGGTTGTGGGAGACTTTAACACTCCATTATCATCAATAGATAGGTCATCCAAACAAAAACTCAATAAAGAAATCCAAGATCTAAAATATGCAATAGATCAAGTGGACCTAGTAGATGTCTACAGAACATTTCATCCAACCTCTACACAATATACATTCTTCTCAGCAGCCCATGGAACCTTCTCCAAAATAGATCATATCCTAGGGCACAAAGCAAGCCTCAGCAAATATAAGAAAATAGAAATAATACCATGCATACTATCTGACCACAATGCAGTAAAAGTAGAACTCAACAACAAAAGTAAAGACAAAAAACATGCAAACAGCTGGAAACTAAATAACTCATTACTTAATGAAGAATGGATCATCGATGCAATAAAAGAGGAAATTAAAAAGTTCCTGGAAGTCAATGAAAATGAAAACACAACCTACCGGAACCTATGGGACACAGCTAAGGCAGTCTTGAGAGGAAAGTTTATAGCCATGAGTGCATATATTAAAAAGATTGAAAGATCCCAAATCAATGACCTAATGATACATCTCAAACTCCTAGAAAAACAAGAACAAGCAAATCCCAAAACAAATAGAAGGAGAGAATAATAAAAATAAGAGCTGAAATCAACGAAATAGAAACCAAAAAAACCATACAAAGAATTAATGAAACAAAAAGTTGGTTCTTTGAAAAAATAAACAAGATCGATAGACCCCTGGCAAACCTGACTAAAATGAGGAGAGAAAAAACCCAAATTAGTAGAATCAGGAATGCAAAAGGGGAGATAACAACAAACACCATGGAAGTCCAGGAAATCATCAGAGACTACTTTGAGAACCTATATTCAAATAAATTTGAAAATCTTAAAAGAAATGGACAGATTTCTAGATACATATGATCATCCAAAACTGAACCAAGAGGAAATTAATCACCTGAATAGACCTATAACACAAAATGAAATTGAAGCAGCAATCAAGAGTCTCCCCAAAAAGAAAAGTCCAGGACCTGATGGATTCTCTGCTGAATTCTATCAGACCTTTAAAGAAGAACTGATACCAACCCTCCTTAAACTGTTCCATGAAATAGAAAGGGAAGGAAAACTGCCAAACACATTTTATGAAGCCAGTATTACACTTATCCCAAAACCAGGCAAAGACACCTCCAAAAAGGAGAACTATAGGCCAATCTCCTTAATGAACATTGATGCAAAAATCCTCAACAAAATAATGGCAAACCGAATTCAGCAACACATCAAAAAGATTATTCACCACGACCAAGTAGGCTTCATCCCAGGGATGCAGGGGTGGTTCAACATACGAAAATCAATAAACGTAATAAACCACATTAACAGAAGCAAAGACAAAAACCACTTGATCATCTCAATAGATGCAGAAAAAGCCTTTGATAAGATCCAACATCATTTCATGATAAAAGCTCTAAGAAAACTAGGAATAGAAGGAAAGTTCCTCAACATTATAAAAGCTATATATGACAAACCTACAGCCAGCATTATACTTAACGGAGAAAAATTAAAACCATTCCCTCTAAAATCAGGAACCAGACAAGGATGCCCACTATCTCCACTCCTATTCAACATAGTACTGGAATTCCTAGCCAGAGCAATTAGGCAAGAAGAAGGAATAAAAGGAATACAAATAGGTAAAGAAACTGTCAAAATATCCCTATTTGCAGACGACATGATCCTATACCTTAAAGACCCAAAAAACTCTACTCAGAAGCTTCTAGACATCATCAATAGCTATAGCAAGGTAGCAGGATATAAAATCAACATAGAAAAATCATTAGCATTTCTATACACTAACAATGAGCAAACTGAAAAAGAATATATGAAAACAATTCCATTTACAATAGCCTCAAAAAAATCAAATACCTAGGTGTAAACCTAACAAAAGATGTGAAAGACCTCTACAAGGAAAACTATACACTTCTGAAGAAAGAGATTGAGGAAGACTATAGAAAGTGGAGAGATCTCCCATGCTCATGGATTGGTAGAATCAACATAGTAAAAATGTCGATACTCCCAAAAGTAATCTACATGTTTAATGCAATTCCCATCAAAATTCCAATGACATTCATTAAAGAGATTGAAAAATCTACTGTGAAATTTATATGGAAACACAAGAGGCCACGAATAGCCAAGGCAATACTCAGTCAAAAGAACAATGCAGGAGGTATCACAATACCTGACTTCAAACTATATTACAAAGCAATAACAATAAAAACAGCATGGTACTGGCACAAAAACAGACATGAAGACCAGTGGAACAGAATAGAGGATCCAGATATGAAGCCACACAACTATAAGCAACTTATCTTTGACAAAGGAGCTAAAAATATACGATGGAGAAATAGCAGCCTCTTCAACAAAAACTGCTGGGAAAACTGGTTAGCAGTCTGCAAAAAACTGAAACTAGATCCATGTATATCACCCTATACCAAGATTAACTCAAAATGGATCAAGGATCTTAATATCAGACCCCAAACTCTAAGTTGATACAGAAAGAGTAGGAAATACTCTGGAGTTAGTAGGTATAGGTAAGAACTTTCTCAATGAAACCCCAGCAGCACAGCAACTAAGAGATAGCATAGATAAATGGGACCTCATAAAACTAAAAAGCTTCTGTTCATCAAAAGAAATGGTCTCTAAACTGAAGAGAACACCCACAGAGTGGGAGAAAATATTTGCCAACTATACATCAGACAAAGGACTGATAACCAGAATATACAGGGAACTTAAAAAACTAAATTCTCCCAAAACTAATGAACCAATAAAGAAATGGGCAAGTGAACTAAACAGAACTTTCTCAAAAGAAGAAATTCAAATGGCCAGAAAACACATGAAAAAATGCTCACCATCTCTAGCAATAAAGGAAATGCAAATTAAAACCACACTAAGATTCCACCTCACCCCTGTTAGAATAGCCATCATCAGCAACACCACCACAACAGGTGTTGGCGAGGATGCGGGGAAAAAGGAACCCTCTTACACTGTTGGTGGGAATGTAACTAGTACAACCACTCTGGAAAAAAATTTGGAGGCTACTTAAAAAGCTGGACATCGATCTACCATTTGATCCAGCAATACCACTCTTGGGGATATACCCAAAAGACTGTTACTCCAGAGGCACCTGCACATCCATGTTTATTGCGGCACTATTCACAATAGCCAAGTTATGGAAACAGCCAAGATGCCCCAGCACTGACGAATGGATTAAGAAAATGTGGTATCTATACACAATGGAATTTTATGCAGCCATGAAGAAGAACGAAATGTTATCATTCGCTGGTAAATGGATGGAATTGGAGAACATCATTCTGAGTGAGGTTAGCCTGGCCAAAAACCAAAAATCGTATGTTCTCCCTCATATGTGGACATTAGATCAAGGGCAAACACAACAAGGGGATTGGACTTGAGCACATGATAAAAGCGAGAGCACACAAGGGAGGGTGAGGATAGGTAAGACACCTAAAAAACTAGCTAGCATTTGTTGCCCTTAATGCAGAGAAACTAAAGCAGATACCTTAAAAGCAACTGAGGCCAATAGGAAAAGGGGAACAGGAACTAGAGAAAAGGTTAGATGAAAAAGAATTAACCTAGAAGGTAACACCCACACACAGGAAATCAATGTGAGTCAATGCCCTGTATAGCTATCCTTATCTCAACCAGCAAAAACCCTTGTTCCTTCCTATTATTGCTTATATTCTCTCTACAACAAAATTAGAAATAAGGGCAAAATAGTTTCTGCTGGGTATTGAGGGGTGGGGGGAGGGAGGGGGGAGTGGGTGGTAAGGGAGGGGGTGGGGGCAGTGGGGAGAAATGAACCAATCCTTGTATGCACGTATGAATAATAAAAGAAAAATGAAAAAAAAATAGAGGAAAAATGTGGGAAATAATCTTAGATTTTTGGGCTGCAGGAGTGGCTCAAGTGGTAGAAGTGTGAGGCCCTGAGTTCAAATCCCAGTACTGTCCTCCCCCAAACAAACTTAGACTTTCTAAAATAGAAATGAGTATCTGTTGTTATTGATTAGTGTAATAATTAGCATATTATGCCACAAACATCTTTGATGCCAATTTTTCCGCATAGTTGCAGAGAATGTCGTCAGACAAAAGAAACAACGTTTAGCAAAGAAGGCTGGGAATGCTCAACTCACAGTGTCTCATTTGAGTGAAAAGGTAAGGTGTGGGCTGAAGTAGTCCTGGGTCCCATTTAAATTCAGAATTTTTCACTTGTTGGGCAAGTTCTCCACCACTCAAGCCATGCCCCCAGCCCTTTTGCTTTGATTATTTTTCAGATAGGGTCTTATACTTTCACCTGGGGTTGACCACAGACTGTGATCCTCCCACCTCCGCCTCCTACAGAGCTTGAGTTATTGTCATGTATCACCATGCCTGTCCCCAGCCCATGGTTTCTTAGGAAAGAAAATGCAAACCTCTCAACCTGAGTTGATGTTAAAGGGGCAAACCTGCCTCTTGTCATTTTGTTCTTCTATTTTTCTGTGTCTCATTTGATGCTTTTAAAGTGACAGTGAGCTTCTGTGCTGTCATGGATGATTACAGGTTATCAATCAAATCAAAGTCTTATTTTGGAGAAAAAATTAGGGTTAATATTAAAAGGGATCTTTGAAGAGACAGGAAATGTTGAAATAAGAAGAAAAGTTAAAATGCAAAGTATTGGTTTATACATCGTATTCTGTGAGAATCCCAGGCTCCTGTGTAGCCCATGTGATGAACATCAAACTTGAAGTGGCTCAGGTGAGGAAGACTCTAGAAGGACCTCAGTTTGTACAGAGCCAAAAGAGTTTACATCTATGGATTCAGCATTAATACTTTGTTTCAAGACAGAATTGTACTCCAAAAACTTCTTTGACAGCCATTGTTTGTGGGGTGCATGAAGAGGGACTGTTAATCCCACCCTGATCAACGTGGGCTCCTTTGAAGGGGTTCAGTGGTACAAGAAGTTAGGAAATCTGGTCTGGGCCATTTATGGCCTGACTTAGTGTAACTGCTGTGGAGATAAGAAGAGTGGCACAAAAATAATTTGCTTGTATTGTCTGCTTCACTAGGCAGTGCTGTTTTAATAGTTCTCTTTTTAATTTTAGGTTTTCAACTCTGTAAAGGCTCTTCTTGATCTTTCTGTGTTTCGGAGTCAAATTGTACTAGAAAGACTGGTCACGGATCTGAAAAAGAAAATCCCAATGTTACACTTTAGTCCTTTGGAACCCAGTGGAAAAATCCATGTGGAAGGATCTTTTCTGGCTATGAAGAGGCTCAATGAGTCTTTGCTATTGAAATCAACTCATCTTTTACAAAGAAACAGGAAGATTATGAATGAGGGGGAAAAGTGGAAGAGACAGAGCCCCCAAAGGAGTCTACAGAAAAGTGCTAACTCTGTGACGACACTTGGGACGTTAGTACCCAAGTCTGCAAGAGGTGGAGAAATGCTTGTGCTCGACACGGATGTTTTCCTTTACCTGAAACAGAAATGTAGATGTTATGAAACCACACTGAACAGATTTCACATTCAAACTCAGGAGAGGGTGGATGGTGAGCTCACCACTCTTTATCTAAAAAATGCTCATGCTGATTCTCAGCCCAGTAATACGTGGCATGTGAAAGAACTCATTGAGGAGTGGTCCCAGGGTCTTCACCTTGAGCTCAGAAAAGAGATGTTTCATTTGGGAGGAATGGGAAGTAGAGAGAAAAGAAACATTCAGTGGGCATGTGAGAAAGTACACTCAAGATACCGTAAAGTTCTGATTAATTTTTACAGGACACACATTGACATTATCGGATCTTCTTCTGATACGTACCTATTTAAAAAAGAGGTCATGAAATTAGTAGGGCAAAAGGTTAGTTAATAAATGTCAGTCATAATAAGAATAGATACTTTCTCATACTGAGTACCGACCATGACAATAATCATCTTCTTTCATTATGAGTACTATTATCATCATGTTGTAGAGGAAGAAACTAGGATTTGGAGAATTTAAAATATTTATCCAAAGCTATCCAGCTGACAAGGAATGAGGTCAGCTTAATGAGGGCTTAATCCAGTCTATGAGTATACAGATATTATCTAAATAAAATTTTGGAAAACTTTCACTGAATGTTGAAGAAATCTCATTTTCTTTCCAGCTCCAAATTATTACAAAAAGTAGTCTTAACTCTAACATATGAGATGTTTCGATGATTACTGTTATGCCATTGGTAATTTCTTTTTCTTTTCTTTTTGGTGGTGCTGGGGTTTGAAATCAGGGCCTCATGCTTGCTAGGCAGGTGCTCTACCACTTGATCATTCCACCAGCCAAGAAATTTCTTAACCTTTTCAAAGTTTGCATTTACTTCATATAGAATTAGAATGCTGGCAAAAACCATGAGGGAAATGACTTAGACAGAAAGTATTTCTAATTCAAGTGATCACGAACTTGACTAAATTCCATTGTTACATGGCTTCTGGACACATGAGGCATTTTTGCTGCTATTTATTTAGCTTATGTGCTTCTGTAAAGTGTTCTGTTATAATTATGAGGAAGTTTGGAAGAAATCTATACAATTGCTATTACAGATACTTCTTGTTTTATGATGGGAGTACATCCAGATAAGCTTTGTAAGTTGAAAATACTGTAAGTCAAAAATGCATTTCATACACAAAACCTACTGAACAGCCTAGTTTAGCCACAACAGTACTCCAGAGAATCAGTTGGTGGTCATTTACCTTCATGATTGCATGGCCGACTGGGAGCTATAGCTCACCACCATTGTCTAGTGCCATTAGGGAGTATCATACTGCATGTTGATACAGTGCCACCAGGCACTGATGGCTGATGCCTGTAATCCTAGCTACTCAGGAAGCAGAGATCCAGAGGATCATGGTTCAAGGCCAGCCCAGGCATAAAGTGAGACCCTATCTCAAAAATACCCAACACACACACACAAAAAAAGGGTTGGTGGAGTGGCTCAAGTGGTAGAGTGCCTGCTTAGCAAGCATGAGCTCCTAAGTTCAAACCTCAGAACTGTCAAAAAAAGAATTTGTGATATAATTTCTACTGGGTGCATAATTGCTTTCAAACCATAGTAAAGCCAAAAATGTCATAGAAAAATTGAATTGTAAGTTGAATGATTGTTAAGGTGAGGGTATCCATGGTTTTATTCTTCAAATGCTATTACTTTAAAAATACAATTAGAAAATAAGGAAAGAAATAAAATCCACAATAATTTATTTCAAAGGGTATGACTTCCTTGAATATAGCTTCAGCTTAAACCAGTTTTAAGTATCTGGGGCACTTCAGAGACCTTCTTCATTTAATAGATAACAAAATGCATATATAATGTATATATAAAATACATTTTCTCATCTCAAAGTAAACATGATTGTAATTATTGGAACTGTTTGTGTCAGTAAAAAAGCATAAGAAAAAATCTGTCTATATGCTCTTATTTTTCTTAGCCATATAAGTCCCAAATGTGTAAATAATTTCCATTTCCTTAACTAGTGTATTTCTGACACCAAAACCACAGGCAGCAAAAGCAAAACTTGATAAATAAGCCATCAAACTTAAAAATGTGCATTCAAGGACACGATCAATGGAGTAAAAACTGTTTCATTTAGTTCAGACTGTTATTGAAAACTGCCAGTGGGTGACAATTGATGTGTATTTTTGGAGGCTGGGAAGTCTGAGATGAGGGTGCAGGCATGACTGGGTCATGGTGAGGTAAGAGAAAGAGAAGAAGTTCTCCCCTGTCTCTTCTTAGAGGAACATGGATCCCATTATGAGGGCTGTACCCTCATGACTTAATTATCTCTCAAGGGCATGCCTCCATATGACATATGTGTTAAATTTGCATTGCTATGACAAAATACCTGAGAAAACAAAAAGAAGAAAGATTTATTTTGGCTCATGCTTTCTAGTCTATGGTTGCTTGGCCCCATCTCTGTGAGCCTGTGGCAAGGCAGGACATTATGGCAGAGAGAGTATGGCAGAGCAAAGATGCTCACATTATGACAGGGAAACAAAAGGATGGAGAGAGGGAAGAGAGAGAGAGGGAGAGAGAGACAGAAGAAAGAAGAAGGAGGAGGAGGAGAAAAAGGAGAAGGAGAGGAGGAAGAAGAAAAAGGAGGAGGAGGGGAAGGAGAAGAAGAGGGGTCCAGGGTTAAAATACACTCTTCAAAAGGCATGCCACCTGTAACTTACTTCCTCCGTGTAGGCCCAATCTCTTAATAGTCCATTCAGCCATGAACTGCATATGAACAATAGCTAGCTAGCTGAATGGGCTACTAATCAATTGATGAGGTGTACACCCTCACATCAAATCACCTCTCGATAACTCCATCAGCTGGGATCCAGGCCTTGCACACACAAGCTTTTGGGACATTTTATATCCAAAACATAATTCTAACACATTGGGCATTAGAGTTTCAATATATGAATTGTGGGGACATATGAATATTCAGTCCATGGCATTCTATCCCTGACCCTCCAAATTCACATCCTTGTCAAGTACCAAATGCGTTCATTCCATCCAACAGTCCCAGACATCTTAACTCATTCCAGCATAAACTCTACTACAAGTCTAATGTCCAAAGTCTCATCTAAATATCATCGAAATCAGGTATGAACAGGATTCTGGAACAATTTTCAGTTTGGCAATAATTCCTCTCTAGCTCTGAACTTGTGAAAACCAAAGTTTTGTACTTTCAAAATAGAATGGTGGGAAAGGGATAGGACACACTTTCCAATTCAAAAAGGGAGAAATAGGGAATAAGGAAGAAGCGATGAGTTTCAAGCAAGTCCAACACCTGGCAAAGCAATCTACATAAGATCGTAATGCTTAGAAAATAATCTTCGGTTCAATGCTCTGCCTTCTGAGGCTCACTGGGACCACCAAGTACAAGCCTTCAACAGGGAGCAAATCTGCCAGTGACATGATCTTGGATATCCAACCTCCAGAACAAAGAGCAATATATTTCTGTTGTTTGTAAGCTGCCAGTCTGGTATTTTGTTATAACAGCCTGCACAGACTGAGACAGACACAGAGTGGAGTGATGCAGCTACCAAGGAACAGCAAGAGTTGCCTGCAGCCTCCACAGGCAAGAATTTTCCCTGGAGCCTGCAGAAAGAGCATGGCCCTGCTGACACATTGATTTTAGATTTCTGCCTCCAGAACTGTGAGAATAAATTTCCGCGGTTTTAAACCATCAAGTTTGTAGAAATTTGTTTCAGCAACCCTGGAAATGGATAGATCTGGCTTTCTTTCAAACAGTTCTTGGGAACCTCCATCCCTGCAGATGGTTTTGGGTGTGGGCCTCTTATGTCACCCTTGTAGAGGGCAAGAACTTTCCTTTTCCTGTTTCATTCATCCCCAGTTTATAGTGGAGCACCTGGCATATAGTAGGCGTTTCAGAAATCCTTATAAAATATATATGAACAAGTTTTGTAATCCCACAGAATTCAATACGAAACTATGTACTCAATAAATAAATAAAACAGTTAATAAACGTTATTGCTCTAGAAATTTTCTTTTTGCTGTGTGGTTTTCCTTCTTGTCAGCATAACGTTAATTTCTTACTCCTTCATTAGAATGGGTCTGCATTTCCTGCTTGCATTCTTTCCTCCCATGCAGGAAATTCTTCTCTCTGGCAAGACACACTCAGGTAATAGGATATCTTTTTCTCTTTTATATTCTTGTCAAGCAGGTTGGCTAGTAATTGCTCTTGGCAGGCAGGCACTAGGTATGTTCCTTGGACTTGTCTGCAGTGGATCTTTCCATATGTCTGTCTTTGTGAGCAGGTTTCACAGTGAAATGCAAATCCCTTGCAATTTAATTTGATAATTATGAAGATTCGCTGCTCTGCCTAGTCTGGTGTCTAGTTATTGTCAGCTGTAAGAGGCTACTCAGGAATTCTCAAAGTCTATGAGCATTCTACTCATTAATACTTGACATATTAAGATATTTTAATCAGTAGAAAATACTATATAGCTTGTGTATGTATGTCAAGAGTATCCTGCAGCTAACATATTTCCCGTAATGCTGACAAAAGCGATAGGGAGAGAATATGCCTCCTTTTGATTCTTTTATGAAATTTTAAATTGGAGGAATTTGCCTAGTAAATATTTTACTGATCCAGATGTTAGAAAGGTATTACCTTAAAGGATAGGGACTTCAAGTGATAGTTAGGAAAGGACATTGGGAATGTTACGTAATATTTTCTGCAATTTAAAAAATGTTTAAAATACATAATAAGTGGTTTCATGAGGGGAGTGAACAGGAGAAAAATGCAAGAAAGGTAGCATTTTCTTTTGTTTTTGATGGTACTGGGGTTTGAACTCAGGGCCTCGCTAGGCAGGTACTCTACCACTTGAGCCACTTCGCCCACCAAAGGGTGGCATTTTTAAGAGGTGTGTATGAAGGTTGAGAGGAACAACTTGCTTCTGATGAAAGTGATGTTTATGGGATAAAGTTTATTGAAAATGCTTATTCTTCTTCCTTGTCTCCTGTCCCACACATCCACACATCTCTTCCCTTCATTTTATAAATTGTCAAGCATTTTGGATTCAGTGTCAAGACCATCCTTTATATTTTTTTCTTTTTTTCATGCTCTATGATACAACACTAATTAGCTCATACTTGGAGTATTGCAGTATTCTTCTAGCTGGTCCTCTTGGCTTGGCCCTCCCCAGCCCCATACCCTCAATTCATCTCGTATATCACTAGAAAATTAATGTGTCGGAAATGATTAGTGGTATTTGGGAGGATTCAACTGACTGGCTGATGTTAATTGTCCTACCCTGAAATTTCATTGTAACTTTTAATCTTTCTTATTGCTTTCTTATCCATTTACAGCATATATTTTCTGAAAGGTACAGTCTATTCTTGTTCATAAAAGATTTAATATTCAATCAT